TTCTATACCCATCGTCAAAGGCCGTAGATGGAAGCTCCTCGACCGTCATGTATCCCGATGCCAAATGTTCTCACACTGGTAAGAGACTTTCGTCTTTGGAGTACCAAACCTAACGAACATTACAAAATTGAGGTGTCAACCGGCCTAGTAGAATGCGACAGTTATTTTTATTATTTTGTTTCAATCCACGATAAAATGATTTTAAAATATGACATGTTTACTTTGTTCCATTCTCTATTTCTTTTTCACGAAGAAATATCTAAATTAACAGTTAAAATAGGTAAATGTGGAGAAGGCAAGACCGAGGATGTAAATAATTTTATTATCACAAACAGTTACTTAAATACTCCTGAAAGAAATCATTCTTACTGAAAACAATGGACACCTTTATGGCACTTTCAGACAGTCATTTCTAGTTGTTTTCGCAACATCTCTGAAGTATATGCAATCGGCAATGTAAACAATCGACACAAATGAATTCGTCTTCAGGCCTACACCATATTTTACTTATTTTAACAATGTTCTTTTTATTTTCTGTCGCCCAGTTTCCAATTCGGAAAATCCGTGGTGGATGGTCGATCTCGGAGGGGAACACTGCATCAGCAAAGTCAACATTCTGAACCGTGGAGACTGCTGCAGTAAGTCATTATTATTAAACCCAAGGAAATCATGCGATAATTATGGGAATAATGTATAACCATATTACTTCCTGACCTCATTCCTCAAGGTTTGGGCTGTCCAATTTTAATTAATTTTCTTAACTGCGGACGATATTGCTGAAAATGGCTTGCAGTATACACCCCGTGTCCGAGAAATTGTGGCAACTTCTACAGTTTCATCCATGGTCTGTTTTGTAGGATTATAGGTCCATATATTAACAGCACCAAACCCGTTTTTGTATTATGGAAATTTAATTTGCAGGCGAACGTTTGCAAGGAGCTAATGTCCGCGCTGGTAACAGCCCCACTGCTACCGACAACCCGACCTGTGGCTCAGCTGTCACCGCTGCCCAAGCCAAACCACTCGGTGGTACCATCCAGATGGATTGCCCTACTCCGTTGAGGGCGCGCTACATCAGCGTTGATATCCCCCGTACGGGCACCTTGCAACTTTGTGAGGTCACTGTGGAGGAACTCTCCCTGGACCAATGCGAAAGTAAGTTTCATCAATAGCCGATGTGGTTCTTTCCAGAGTTGTTGGACCAGAAGGACAAGTCAACTGTTTTTTTTTAACTGACCGATGGCACTTGAGTGAGTGACTGACTGATTCAGAATCTTAAAATGTTCTAAAATTAGAAGTCTGGGCCCAGCTCGACTATTACTATTAGCCGAGTCTTGTAAGCAACTTTAAAATGTTTATCCAGTAAGCAGGTTCTCGTATAATATCGCTTATTTTGGTTCACCAAAGCTATCTCGGCGAATCAAACAAGTCACTAAAAAGATGTCGCGTCCCGTTGGAAAGTTCGAACCTCTTTTGTCCATACTGAAAGTAGCATGCCATATCAAATTCATAATTTGAGGTTTTAAGTCCTACAAACGTCTTTCTTCTCATAAATAGCGGAGGCGTTCAGTATCGTTGACCATCCAGCCTCGCAAAGCTCTGAACAAGGCTCAGGACGATATCCAGCGGGCAAAGCTGTTGACGGTAGCTCATCGACCATCATGTACCCCGATGCTAAATGCTCACACACAAGTAAGATGAATCCTCGTTTAAAACATCGACCAATCAGAGATCCATGTTTGGCTCATAAATATGTTCGAAGTGTAAAAAAAAGCATGACCGAATGAATCTCATTTGAAACATCGACCAGTGAGAGAAGCGAAGTTGGCTCACAAATATGTATGAGGTGTAATAATAAAAAAAATCGTGCATGCATGCATCCTCATTTGAATCAGCAACCAATGAGATAAGTGGGTCTTGCTCATTTTATGTATGAAGTGTAACAATTTCCACTAAATATCACGACTGAATGAATCCTCATTTGAAACATAGACGAAAGAGAGAAATGGGTTTGGCTCAAAAATATGTATATAGTGTGATAATTTCCACTAAACATCATCTGCGGGTTGGCGTGAAAGAGAAAAAAACACAAAAGATTCAAATCACCACAACCACACACAGTCACAAAAGACTGTCCATCTCTTATAAAATGGCACAACACATACAAAATAATACTGGTTCTAGCTGGAATAACGATTTGTTGATTTTTTTTTTTTAAGGTCAGGAGGAGAATCCCTGGTGGAGAGTCGATCTCGGTGGTGAGGAATGCGTTACCAAGGTAACCATCCTGAACCGTGGAGACTGCTGCAGTAAGTATAACAGTATCTTCACTAAAGTCACTCGACGCAAAAGTTGGGATCTTTACAGAGAAATGTGACTCTTTGTTTCTTGCGTATGCATACAACGATGCCTTTTTGGTGGCTTTACTAGCTCTACTCACAAATACCTCCCAGTACATTTTTTTTTGTATTCAATCCACAAAAGTCATGTTGAATTGTTTTATAATGTACAATTTCTTTTTTTACAAGATAAGCAACGAATGTCCACATTCACTGAAGTCAGTAAATTTACCCTGTAATTTATTTTGGCTAATAACGATCAATAGCAATATTAATTGACAGTTTGAAATACAATGTATTAAGTCCTTTTCTTGAACAAGCTACAAACCTAACAGATAAACAAAACAAAAAATTACAAAACAAAAGCATGACAGGTATCATCCTTTCAATTGCTATTCCGTTCTTTTAATTTATTTACAGGTGAACGTCTGCAGAACGCCATTGTTCGTGCTGGGTCAAACGAGACCCCTATTGGGAACCAGGCATGCGGGGCACCAATCACCGCCGAACAAGCCCAACCATTGGGCGGTACAATCGCGGTTGAGTGCGGTCGACCGCTGAGGGCGCGCTACGTGAGCGTCGATATTCCGGGCACTGCAGTTCTTCAACTCTGTGAGGTCTACGTTGAAGTGCATTCTTCCGGACAGTGCTAAGAATATTCACCGTCACCTCGTCACCCGATTTCGAATTAGACCCGTTTAAAAATCATGACCCGACTACGAATTATTTTACGATAACGAATTGAGCCTGTTTATTATTATGTTTTTTTAATTGGTGGATGGGTTCTTCCTTGCTAAATTCTAAATAAAAGTAAACCTAACAAGTGACTTTGTTGTTTGCCTGAATGACGCGTGAAGGTGATGTCATACAGAGCCAAGTTCTTTACTTTGTCAACGATATGGTTCGACATGTCTGTAACTTCCCACAAGAAAATTCACATCGGACTACTCCTAAAACGTTTACCAATTATCAGTCCTAGGTTTGACGACTGTCTCAGTACATGTACATTGAATAAACTTTGGTTAATTGATTGGACTATTCTGAAATTTATTTGGAATATGAAAATAACTCAAGAAATGATCAGTCAGATTGTTTCTCTACCCTGACTTTGGTGATTCGATTTCCACAAATTCAGTTTGTGATTGGTTTATTTTTGTTTAGCTAACGATACGAGTTGAAGACTACATCGCTTAAAGTTGGTGGTGGTTAAGGTCTTATTTTACAGCGTTTTATTGCAACTTTTATTTGTGATTGGTTTATTTTTGTTTAGCTAACGTTACGAGTTGAAGACTACATCGCTTAAAGTTGGTGGTGGTTAAGGTTTTATTTTACATCGTTTTATTGCAACTTTTTTTCAAAACTTTTTAACGCAGTTTTCATTGCTTTATTACTGCTCTTTTATTCTTTTTAATAATTTGGTGCATTCTTTTGAGTAATAAAAAAAATGTTTACTAGCATGACATCCCTTCTCTGATTTATCTATATTCTTAAAAGTGAGGATGTAAAGGATCATAGTAAAACTTACTACTTGGAGGCGACCTGACACAATTCATGAAGAAAAATCATTGAGATGTTCCGGCGTCCAATCAAAGTGTTCAAATTAATTTCCTCCATTCTTTCCTTCAAACGTTACTATATGGTAATTTGTATGTCAAGGATATGTTTGTTGCAAGACAAGTGCACCTTAGTTTAAAAATAAAATCTGACGCGTGCATTTTGGCATTGATTTGGTAGGGCCTACTTAACTTAGCTATACTATTATAGGTTGATGAAAACAATTCCTCTTCAGCAATTTATGGTTGTAATCAGAGGCATATTAGTCGTATATGAACTCATTGCCGGTTGCCATTCACACATTAAATGGCTTCGTTTTTGTATGTTGGATGCACTAGTGTAGCGCTGTACTTTTAAGTACTAGTCCGATTGCACACTGGATTACACAACATTGCTCCATACGTGGTACGGAAGCTTCGCAAGGAATGTTAAATATTTCCCCTCGGCCGCAAGAGGCAAAAATATAAAGTGCATGCAAAGTGAAGATCAGCCAACAAGAATTACGGCCAGTCCTGCAGCCAATCTTGTATATTATCATCGTCTTTTTGGTCGCTGGTTTTGTTGTCTGAACGAAAAAGTGTTGCCTCAAGATGTTGACCTGTTGCAACTGGTCACCTTCAGACTCTTGAGGGCGCAGCTACTCCAGTGTCTATTTCGAAGTGAACACGGCGATAAAACATGTGCCGATTACGATCAACTTCTCCAACTGAACATTATAAATAAATGACCATTATAAATAAAGTTCAACCCCAGAAAGGTCTATTTGTATAGATGAAACTTGGCCCTGACGCTTCACAATGAAAATTGACTTGAGACTTAATATCCTTTTCGAGGTCGTGACAAAATCAAGTTAGCTTATATGTAGTAAAACGATGCTGCAAAATACTCTGCATTAATACAGCAGCATGAGGTGACCCGTTGAAACTGAAAACTAGGTATTGGTGCCATATGTATATAGGCCTATAAAAGGACGACGGTGTAATGCACCAGTGGCTATCAATTTCGCATTATCTGCACGCTTTGAATGGTGTACAGCACAGCCATGCGTTAATTTGTTTTTCTTCAGAAAATCCAACACAAAACAAAACAAAACATATCAGTCTGACCTTTCAGCTTATTCATATCTTACCGGTTTGTTTTAATAGCGATTCATCGTGCACCAAAGAAAAAGTGATTTAGAGAGGTGACTCGAATTAGCCTCCACCACTAATATTCAGTTTAGAATTAAGTTTGTTTCAAACGTTTGATCAGGGAAGATTTGAAAAGGTTTTTACGCTGATATTCACATAACACTATAACACGGCATTGACACCTTTCACCATACCATTTGAAAAGAGACATTTCCACCACCAAATTCAGTAAAGTTGACCCAGTTAATAAAAGTACGTCATAACTAATGCACTAAGACAGGTGCGTGTATATTTAGCCTTAAATATCTCATTGTAATTCAGTTGTTCACAAAACGGCTGTTGTTGATGATGCATCTCAAACATCATTGATAATTATGACATAGGCTACTTGCTTAGATGGATGAATATCATACGCCACAACCATTATGTTCAAATTGTTGGTAGATATTTCTACGACGAGAAGAGTATACTCTCCGAAACGTTGAGTTTCCCCCGGTTCTTCTCAGAAACTCACAAACTCACAAAAGTGATTTGTCACATATAGTGCTACCGTAAACCATTATCTTATGGACATTTCTAGGTGTGTTTATATGCATTGTAGTGGCCAAATGATGACTACTTTAAATCAAAAGCTCCTGGGGAGGGGGTACGTATACACGTAAATAACCAAGTTACCAATTACAAAACTCATTTTAGAGCTTATTATACCGTCGTGATAAAACTACTACATGCATGCCTTCATGATTCAAAGTTAAAGTTAACAAACTGATAAAATTGCCATATTAATGCCAAAGATCAAGAGGCGTTTCCGAGTCACAATTGTTGAACCTAGTCGGTGGGTTGCACACAGGAGAGGCTTTGCTCCACCTGTGCAATCACATCGGATGTAGCCTCTGTCGCCCCACTCTGTACGTTGATGTCAGCCAGCTGCAAAGTACCAGAACCGTAGGTATCAGCAAAGATGACGTAATCCTTTCCTACATGGACCTGAGTATTGCTACACAAGCCGTAGTCCCAGCCGAAGCCTCCTATGGTGACACTTTTTGGCCCGGTGTCGATCAAGCCATTATAGAAGCACTCGACTTCAAAGGTAGCTGAGTAGATACCGCGGCCGCCTGATCTGGGTGCGTTTGTGCTGGTCACCTTACCCCTGAATACAACCGTTGCTTGTTGAAGCCTATCCTGGAAACTCTCAGGCCTCCAAAAGGCGGGAGGAGAACAGGCGTGGCCAGGAGCAACGGCAGTGGCCAGACAGATCAACAGAATTACACCTACGCCCTGCATGACTGATGTGTCTCAAAAAACCTGTACCAAACAGACGGGAAATAATGAACTTCCAAAAAAAAAAAACCAGTCAATTTGATTATCCTTACACACAAAATTGTTTGAATGGCATAACTTAACAAATTTGTCACCATTTCCCCACGACTGAAAAAAAACTTACCCTGTTTTGACGAATGAATGAGGCTTGCAACAGGATTGAGAAGTTGGATTTCTGCTCGATCTGAAACCAACGTCTTCAACTGAAGCACAAATCGGACCATTATTTTTTATATAGAATGTTCATCTCAGTTTGACACCTGTCAATGAAACCTTAAACGCAAAAAGACAGTCATAAAATACAGTCAGAACTTGAAAATGAGAACATGTATCCGTCTGTTGAGGGCTTGTTATTAAAAGGCTGTCAGACACTTCTCCATCAGATTATCATGTTGCATGTTTTTGTCTAGCTGGCCTAGACGGAGCCACACGGATGTCGATGACTCGGAAAGAATAATGCCAACTGAGCAGCACGCTTCTCAGTGGAATACGATATAGATACAAATGACTGAAGTGGAACTTGTGCAGTTTAGTTGCAATGGTTTGTACGTTACAAACCAACGCCCACTCGAGAGCGACAGTCAAATTCAGTGAACCTTATGACAGGTATGGGTGACACTTCTGACAAGTGACAGAGAGTGTTGTAAAGATACCACTTAATTAAAAACGGTCCGTCAACACCTGTAGGCCTATCATATTAACAAGGCTGCCAATGTAATTCCGATTTAATGAGGAATCTTTTAAATTTGGTATGGTTAGAGAATAGAGACATAAGAATTTTGTTCGCTGTCTGCGGGCTAATACATTGGATATATATTATCATTTGAGAAAATAATGTCAAATTGTCAGACACAAATTTTTGAAGAATTTTGCACAGTACTGGTTCTTGAGAGACCAGACATGAAGAAGTATGGCTATATAGTTACTTTAGATTTATATTTTCATTGATTATTTTGTACAGTCCCGACGGACAATGACCAGGCACGGCCCATGGTATGGCTGACAAGACTTTACCAGGTACAGTCACGGTACAGTCTATAGCTCCACACGTGACACCATGAAGGCCGATACTGAGACAAGGTACCAGGCTAATCACGGAGGATATGAATGATCTAAAATATAGCACTTCTTTCTTTGACATCCAATGGAGTAAGTTGTTGATTTCAACTTTTTAAAAATCTTTTTCATCTCAACGGTTTTTTTTAACCTCGTTAAAATTTCGCCGGCAGATGGCGTGTCACGCTGCTCAACGGACTATGAATAAAACGAACTACCTGATATATTTTAGATCACTCAATAATATTACCAATGATTGTTATTGGATACATTTTTTTGTCATTGATTCATTGGTCCTTATTGCTGGGATTAATTAATTGGAAATTAAATACAAAAGAAGTTATAGTATTACATGCCGACATACAAGAAGACAATTAAACTGTCAAAATACTAGTTGTCAATTCAAGTTAGTGTTCGAATTCTGCCAGCTTAATTTGAAGCTATACACTTGATAGATGACAGAAACTGTGGTTTTCATGAGCTGTTATTTCTTCAGCTCAACTCAAAGACGTTCTCTTGTTTCAATAACAGGTGGTCACCGCAGTTTCGTGTAGTTAAAAAACTTATATAATGGTCGCCGAAAATGCATTTGACACCAAATTTGGCAGTCGGCGCGAAGAGACAAGTAACGTGCAAGAAAACCAAAGTAAGTGTGACAACTTTCAAGGGTGTTTTAAAGGGAATATACATCATTTGCTTTTGCTGTAATTTTCAGAAATGGATGGAATTGGGGGGTTGGAAATATAGAGCAAATATAGTTTCACTGACTTTTTTGAGGTTTTGGGTTCAAAAATGCTATAAAAACCAAGAAAAACAATCATATTCCTGTAGTCTGGTTCTCTGACTCCATATAAGAAGAAACAGAGCAGTTTACATACATTGGGGAATTGTAAGGTCAGGGAACCAGTCTAGCTAGCTTGTACCCGTTCATAGGTGTGTAATCGATTGCAAACAAGTGCGATGGTCAGTTGGGGCCAGTATTTGAAAAAAAAGCCAGTTTTTTCCCAACGCTGGTCGGCCGACCAGCGTTGGAAATTGATACAAAAATACCACTTTTCTTGAAAATGACAGTATACAAGGTGCCATGATTTTACAGGATGCTTTACACTGTCATTCACTAACAGTCCAGCAAGGTATTTCAAAATGATTTGGTAGTTTTATTTTTTGATGTTTGCAAATGTTGTTTTTTCCCTTTAACTGTGAATGATTTTGTTTTTAAAGTAAGTTTTGAAATTGACATAAATCACTATATAGTGTCAAGAACAAAAAGGCGGAACCCAATATCGAGGACGTAAAAACGGTATCCATAAAAGCAAAATAGAACAGTTTATTGCAAAGGCGAATTGATCTTTTGGCGAATTGATCTAGATTTTTAATCGAAGCTGGGCGAGCCCTGATTTTCTCGATTTGTTTTCATACACGTTCTTATAATTGTTTTCCACAGGGATCAAAAATGGAGAAAACTAGCCTGAAGGCAGTGCTTTTTCTTATTGCGGTCAGTCTGTGCTCAGCATGCACGTATGTCCCTTCACCACCTCAAGGTATCGTGCAGCGCATGTCACGAGCACAAGCCGCCTTCAAAGGTAAAGTCGAGGCGATCCATCCCTGGCCGACCACTTTCCGCTGGTACGCCGGATTCTACAACGCCACCTTCGACGTAGAGTGCGTCTACAAGAACAAAGAAGGGGGTCCTCAAGTCACCAAGACTGTCACCGTGTCTATGTTTGGTGATAACGGGGCCATGTGCTCCCGAGCTGACGTAGAGGTAGGTGAGGAGTACGTGGTGCTTGGTGGGGATCGCTATGATACTGGGGCACTGAAGGTCTGGAACGTCAACTTTCAGAGTGGAGCCGAGGCAGTAACTCCACATGTCATGGAACAGGTGGAGGGCGCCTATACCTGCGAATCTCCCCAAGCCTAATCGGAGCTCTATGCTCGTCATGGACAGGAAAAGTCGTATGATGTCATTATAGAGAGACGAAAAACGGGACCTCACTGACTTAATCTCGCATACAAGTTTACTATGGAGAAACGGCTGTGCATGCATACCCTTTAGGCCTATTCATGGGCGCCGCGAGGGGGGGGGGGGGCAAGGGGGCACCTGCCCCCCCCCCCCGAAAAAAAAAAAAAAAAAAAAAAAAAGAGGCACGAAGACAAAGTGGTGTAAATTTAATGAGTTTGGGGAGGGGGGGGGCAAAATGTCCCTGCCCCCGTCTAAAACTGATAAATCGAGAATGTGTTGAGAAATACAAGCATTTTTTGGCCAACAAAATGTTTTGCCCCTCTCTAGAAAAAATCCTGGCGACGCCCATGGGCCTATTGCAAACCTTTTTTTGTCTTTGAAAGAAATCATACCTCTAACTGCTCCCTTTTTTAGATGATGACAAGACACGTGTTAAATCGATTTAATTTTAACTTCTAATGTCATTTTTTTCAAATAACATTCTATTTTGACAGCTTATTTAGCAAAGTTGTGTTTTTATATCCCAAGGTCATGACTTTTTGTAAAAAAAAAAATACTTATTCAGCAACATATATAGGACACCTGTCAACAAAAAGGGCACTCTTAAGTATTTGGGCGTAAGCGCTGGAGAAAGAAGGGCATTTGAACGGAAAAGAGCAGTATTACAAAATATGTGGGGGGGGGGAATACCCCCCGCTGCTGGCTACGCCCACAATAACTTGAGATGTGCGTGGCATAACCACGTGCATGGAATGAGGGATTGTATATTAATTTAAAGATTTGGTAGACTTCAACGCTCTATAATTGACAACTTTTGATATGATCCCTAACCCTTGTGACATAAGTTAAAAAAACAGTTTATCATTCAATTTGGTTTTTAATGCGAGATATAGATAAAACAGTGAACAATAAAGCGTAAAGCAACACAGTGTGCATAGTTACAAAACATGATAGTCATTTTGTGTCGATAATAATATTATACAAAGGCCGCTTGGGCAAGGTCCATGGCACACCACTACTGAAGCTACATAATCATGGATTAGGTGATTAATGGTCAGTATATAAACCTTGGTTGGTATTTCGAGAGGCATTGAAGACCGTCAACATGCTTGCCTTGACGGGTCTAGCGCTCGCGCTCCTAGCGCTTCCCGGCGTTTTAGGGCAAGAATCGCGCTGCGCCGCTAACGCCACTCACTCCATCCACGACTTCACGCTGACTACGATCGATGGCGCCAAACAGATCACCCTGTCTGACTACAAAGGGAAGATCGTGATCGTCATCAATGTGGCCAGTTTCTGAGGGTTGGTCTTCCAGTACCCCTTGCTGAATGCACTACGCGAGGAGTACCCTGACGACTTGGAGATTCTTGCTTTCCCGTGTAACCAGTTCCGCTTGCAGGAGCCGGGCTCCAACAGCGAGATCATGCCGCTGTTGCAGCACGTGCGCCCGGGCGGGGGCTATGTGCCCAACTTCCCGATGTTTGAGAAGTTGGAGGTGAACGGTGAATCGGAACACGCCTTGTACACGCGGCTGAAGGTGAGTACAAAACAGCTACTTTCCTATTTTTACTGTGCGTCTACCAGCTCAAACTATATGAAATCAAAGTGGTTCATGGCGGTTTGTCCTTAACCAAGATCACAATTGCTCCTCCATCCACTGTATGTTGCTGTCGTGTCATCACATTGTCTGCATCATTAAATGACTATAAGCTACTCTGAATATTTCCAATAATCGCTTTCTGGGGCGAGTTACATCCGTGCTTCAAAAGTGAACTTGTGCCCATGCGTCGAATTTCTGTCAACCATCTTAAATTTGTTTGTTGGTTGTTTTTTTCCTCAGAGTGTCTGTCCTCCCGTGAAGATCGACATCGGCGACCCTGAGCAAATGTTCTGGTCTCCCATCCGCGTAGGCGATATCACCTGGAACTTTCAGAAGTTTCTGATCGACGCTGAGGGCGTCCCATACAAGCGATACAACCCATCGGTGATTCCTGATCAGCTGAAGGACGATATCGAGTTGTTGATTACTATGAGAGATATGGCAACCTCGCCTCCAGAACCTGAGGACAAAACAACACAAAGTAGTGGGGCAGCCGCTCCCAAATTTTGGTAGACGAAAATAGTGTCTTCAAACTGGCCCTTTTTATTATGGGAATCCATTATGTCCTAAATATAAGAACAAATGAATACTAATTGTTTAACAAATTTATAAATGATGTAAGAAATAATTGTAAAAATAATGTTCGTTTGTGCTAAATGTGTTTGATCCTGATTTGGGTACAACATTGACAAACTTTTGATAAACATTTTCTACCAGATTTTTTTGAGAGATTTCGTTATTTCGACTGAATGTTTGTGTCACATCACAGCTGATGACGAGCCGTTTGTAAATGCCACAAAATGGCGGGCGAGCGGTTTTGATGCTTGTTCAAACGCGCATGCTCTTGTGCATTCGGGCATGCGCAGTTCGGACAACTGTGGTCAAGCAGACGCTTGTCGAGCTAACGAAATCTTTGGCTATAAATATTATAGACTTTGTTTATCGATCATTCAATATGAAGTCAAAATTGAAATAAATGTTCCAAAGAACCTGAAAGCAAACGGAAAATATCTGTACTTATAGTTTATTTTTCTGTTTCAGTTTATTTTCGACACTCCCCCTCCTTATTTACGACACTCCCCCTCCTTATTTAGCATGTCGAGCGCATGTTCTAAATCAATCGCGGCTGGCATCATGGCATGACAGTATACTCCCGCATTCTACTTGGTAAAACTCTGGCGATATTTGGTAAAACTTTGCGGACTGAGTTACAAGGGGCCAAAACCTGCAGTCGGGGATCAAAAATTTGCAAATCGTCATAGATTTTTAAACAACACTGAAGATTACATTTATTATTATTATCAGATGTTACTTGGACTATGCCACTGCTCTGGTGATAAATTTTTTTTTGTTATCTGCCTGGATAACAAATGATTGTTGGTGCTATAATAAGTTGTACTGCAAACAGGAACTGTATCAGACTAGGACAACGCCCTCAAGTGGTAAAGGTGACATTTTCAATGCTGCAAAATTCTGACGCGAGAATTTGACAGCTTCGTTCCAGTTTTCGATCAGCAACGGCATCCATTCAGTCATTTATTTTAGACATTATGTTTTCCTTCCTCCATGATTCAACAAAAGACAATTATAATGAAGACAATTTTCTCTCATTCAGTCGTCATTACGACACTTTTAAAATCAAAAAGAATCGCGCGTTCATTATTGACTGTCCTGTTTACTTTTAGCAAACAGCTGCTCCACGTAATAAGACTAATTAGATACCATGGTAACAAGGATCTGTAATAAAATACTGCTCATTACTTTTGCTTCTCATGTTAACACAATGATTTAAAATTTCCAGCACTCACATAACATCCCAATTAGTGCACTGAGCCACCGCGCACCAGCCGACAGAATAGCCTAAGATGAGGTAAAGCCTAAGCTTATATCGTGAAGATGAACATCATTTTAAGCATGTATACACACTGTTGGCAAAACAAAGCAAAATTTAATAGCACCAACCCTACCTACCTGCACCCAAACCGTTCTATAGAAGGAAAAATATGTTTTCAAGATGAACAAGCCTTTATCATAACAGCTAACGAAAACGGAGTTCGATCGATTTGTCCAAACGGTTCCCGTAAATGCTAAATGTGTTTGATATAGTTACATGTAGTAGAAGCATATATCGTGTATGGTGTCTGTTATACCGTGAGTCAACACAAACCTCGTACTAAATGAGAGTGAGCAAGCCACACACATTACTAATGAACTTTTTAATTTTGTGTCCGATCAACCTGGCAAAAAGCTCGTACTTATTTTGTATGCCTCTTCCATTGATCCCACTTTAGCAGAAGAATCAACAAAAATTACATAACCATTACAAAAGCCTATACAAAATATAATAGCTATGGTATAGCCGGCGACATCGCCTTTTATAATAGGTACTAGTCGGTGACATCGCCATTCAGTTGCAGAAGAAAGTTTGGAGAGACAAAACGTTTATACAGGTCGTCGCAAGGTACGTGCGTCCTTATGTATGTATTTAGGTTAATTAATATCATTGTTTTCGAAGCTCCTGCTGGCCCTGTGCTACACCATAGAGCAAGTTGTGGCTACACCAACCCTTCACACTTTGAGCTGAGGGTTTTATTTATCATTTTTAAGTAAAAGTAAACATTCAATATTTGTGTAAAAGCAATAGTGCCCCACGGGTGTGGATTAATTATGAGGCTACAAAGTAACTACATGTATATTATGAGAGGTGGGGAAACATTGGTGTGAATCATGAAACAATAAGAACGAGTTTTCTTTTACAATGTGTTGAATTAAAAATAAATTCTCGTTTTTTGTTTTTCTTGGGTTTTTTTTTGGGGGGGGGCAGGGGGTTGTGGGGGGTGTTCTTTGCTGAACTTCGTTTGTGTTTGTACTTTTCGTCCATTGACTCAGTGTGTGGGGGCTTGCAATTTGTATTTGCCTCATTTTGATGTCGACTTCTACGTGGGCTCCCCTTTTGTGTCATTAAGAATTATTTTTATGGATCTACTTTGTCATACATTCGTTCATTTGTATCTCTCCTTGCGTAGTGTATATGGTAAGGTTTTGCATTGAACATTTCAGAGGGTAGTTACATCTGCTAGATAGTAATGATAGTGAGCTGTAGTTATAAAAAATCCTCTCCAATGGCTTAATAAAGGAAGCAACATCCTATACTATATGCCGTTGGTATATTCTTGCCAGTTTTACGGCACACTCTGACTCAAATTAAACTGGGACTGTTTTTGTCTGCTATTATACGTAGACTAGCCGAGGTTAATATTTTGTATTAGCAGTTCAGGTCCAGCTTTTAGAAAGGGAAAATTACTGGGTCCTAATTTGGAAGAATGTTTAAATTTGGTAGGTAGTCGAGAAGGATTTCGAGTGGCGAAATAACACTTATTGAAGCATTTCGAGCCATACACTCTGTAATCGTTTCAAGTTACAGACCCGACGTCCTTGTCTTCGTTTCCTAGAGCCCCTCCCAGTCATCACGTGTTAGTCACTGTATCACGTGGTATTGGATACTCATTCGTTATCGTAAATTCAGATATGTATCTATTTTTGTTTAATCTGTTGACTGATGTTGTTTATGGTAGTGATTTATTAATTGATTGATTTTCTTTTGATTTGTATTTATCGTTTTACTAAGAACTATTGTCCCTGTTCAAGTACACATGATGTTTGTGTTATGCTTATCTTGTATTAAATCGATTACACAAGTGCTTAAATAACATTCCTTAATAAAAAAAAACAATTACAGTTTATGCTTAATCCAACTCATCCCTAGATGACGTCAGCCGCCATGCTTCCTATCACAACCTGCCTTCTCGCCATGGTTGCCATGTCAAGCGCCCTCACCGACGATCAGATAGCTCGCTTCATGACGTCAGACATGGTCGAGGGCAACACAGGGGAGACAGGAATGGTGACCATTACTACGGCAAATGGCATGCATACCATCACCAGTAACGGGGTACCAGACCATGCTACTGCGGATTACCCAAATTTGGCTAACCCGAATGATATCACAGTACAGACGCATGAATGGGAGATTCCAGTCAACCCTACGGTAGCCGATTCTACCACCGATCTGCCAATGGGACCAATCGGTGTAGCAATCAATGGAATTCCGTTCTTCAACCCTTACACAGCTACAGGTGAGGATCACGATTCAAAATCAAAACAGCGGCTTTATATTACTGTTCAATAAAAAATGTATATACAACCACGAAGCAAAGATAAACTTTGATTCCAAAAATAATTGTTTCCTGACGACTGTTGCATTTTTGTAGGAGAGGATGCCGTGCTTACAGAGACCTTCGACAGCTGTGATGGCCACCCAACAAACCGAGGTACCTATCATTACCACAAACAGCCGTCGTCCTGCGTCTTCAGCATCGTTGATGGGGAACCCTCACCGTTGATAGGCGTGGCCCTGGATGGGTTTCCCATCTATGGCCCTAATGACGAGAACGGCAATACGCTGACGTCATCAGACCTGGACGAGTGCCACGGCCGGTCCGTGAACGGGCAGTATCAGTATCACACCACGAGTGATTTCCCGTACATAATGGGATGTTTCAAAGGCGAGTACACGAGCACTCTGCCCCCAAATGGGCCCCCTGATGGGTCCCAGGGTACAAACATGCCCCCAGACAACGGCCAAGCAAATTTGAAAAGCAGCTTACTGGCTATTCTCAGTGTGTTGGCTCTCATGGTCGCGATATTCTAAAGATAATAGCGAATGATCCGTTTAAAGGTTTCACTCCCCATTCAACCACAATATTACAAGTAATTCAAACTCTAGTTTTATCTTTTGACGAATGCAAGGATTACGGACATTCTGTTATTAATTGATAAATTAATTCAGTATCAATGAATTCATTCTGGTAACAAAGTTTTACTTTAAACATTTACTCGGAATTTGTTCACTTTATTTGTATTTATTTGATTATGTTTTTTAAGTTTATGTTAATGCAATTTGTTTGGATATAATTTTAAATGACGTCAGCATTTATGAATAAAAAGATATATATAGTAGCATTAATAAAATAAACTTACAGACGGCAAGTTTCCTAGTTCCACTTTTTTTTAATTACAAGTTTGTTTTAAGAGTTAGTAATTTGGTCAGAGTTTTATCAGCATATTTTGGTTAGATCAAGGTAGTATCAGTCTGCGGTGCAAACTATGTGATGTGACACGTACCGGTGTCATATTTAGTATAGCGCGTAAGATATGTGAAAACGTCCACCGGATACCATAGCTGTTTGCGAAATGTACTGGGGCACCTATCAAATTTCAAGTGCACCTTCATCAGGACCATTTTAGTTGATAATTCATCACCGACACCACGAAGTAACACTCTACCGTGTTAAACCATATTTTTTTCGATTTTCAGTTTTTTTTTATTTTTAAACATTATTCATCAAGGCCTACCTTTGTACGAAGTTTCAAAGCTTCAAGAGCTTTACTTTAATAATTACGCCAAGTATCCATGGCAACTTTTGCGTGAAAGTGACAATTTTCGTTTTCACGAAGTAACACTCAAGTATCCATTAACCATTGCAATGCATGGCGCGCACTCTGCTCATTAAGACAAAAAGTGAGCAAAAACGTTTTTACGAAGTAACACTCTTCTTGTAATAAGTAATTTGTATGAGCGCGCGCGCGCTGACCTGAAGTTGCACTTTCCTCGTGTTGTATACGTTGAAGAGTGTTACTTCGTGAACAAGAAAATTTACAGTTTTGCAGCTTTTTCGGTTTCACGAACTAACACTCATCCTTTTTCTCTTATTTCTTGTTTATTTAATACACAAACGGGTGAAAAACAGCAGATTTAATAAATTCAATTTATCAAGTATCCACAACGAGAAACCCAACTGAAAATACTCTGTCGTTTTGACGCAAAGTGTTGTTTTAAAAGGCGTTCAACTATAGTTGCCGTTTTCTCCGATTGCTAGTTTTTACTGGTATGTAGATGGGTGTTACTTCGTGGTGTTGGTGACGAATTATTGCGTCAACAGAGTTCTGACGGTGAGATTTTTTTAGGAGGTCGTTTTCTTTATCTTTCCTGTTGCATTATTACTCCATTTCTGCACATCCGGTCACGTTTTAGAGCCTTTGAAGAAAAAAAATGACGGTAGGCCTATATTAATGTGTCGACGGATTTTCAGATGACGTACATTCAGACAGTCGTTTTAGCAAAAGATGACGGTACATTAATGAGTGTTATACAAATAAATGCACATATTAATGAGTGTTATACAAATAAATGCACACAGACCAAACACTACCGGCACAAGTATGAAATTGATGTACACTTTTCACTCAGTTTTTTGTCAGGTGTCTCGCAGTTTCGTTGATCAGTCTTTGAATTTCTGCACGTCGTTTCATTACCGTTTTGAGCTTGCATGGAACTTTTTCACATCGATGTATGTTTTCGCTCTAAACGCTTTGGCTGATGGTTTTGTAGCTAACCGTCTGTTGTTCTGATAAAATACCGGTAAAGTTCGACATGTGCTCATTCTATAAACTTACCATTTGTTGGTTTGGGTTTCTTGGGGTGTTGTTAAGTGGGCGTCTTACTCTTATCAATTGCTCCCGAATTCTGGTATCAATTCCGCTAGCCTCTACTCGCAGTCACTACATGTGTTTCCGTTTGGTAATGGGAGAGCTGACTTCTCGACAACACGAGGTGACTTTCATCATGTCAATCCTCAACGTCGCCTTATCGCATAACAAGACGACATTGGATGAGAAGTTTAACTTCCTGCTCTATGAAGGGCCGTTTGATGCGTCCCAGTATAACGAAATTCTACGGCGATTTCAAGAACAGATTACCAGGAAGAACACCGAAGATGACCGCCGGTTGAAAAATGTGATGGCAGCGGCTGGAGTGTCAAACACCTCCACACAAAATCCTTGGCATAAAACTGCCGTTGAGTGCGATTCTATTCTCGGCAATTTCACTCTGCTGTCCACGCTGAAAAGCGCCAACTATGATCTTCTGATAGGTGACCCGGCGGCTTATTTATGTACACCTTTATTGGCAGAGGTTCTGTCTATTCCCTTCCTCCAATATTCAATTCAAGGACTTCGAGTTATGCATCACGATCGATGGTTCAACCAGCCTATCTATCCCTCCTTCATGCCGATGCCTCTGATATCGTTCTGCGATTCCATGTCATTCAAAGAACGACTGCAGAATTTTTTGGTCTACAAGATAGCAGGCCTGCTGATAGATAGCAATGCCTTAGCTGCGTTTGAAAAGGTTAAGGATAAACACGCCATTCGGCCGAATTCGTCACTTAGCAACCTGTTGATGCGATCCCAGCTTCTCCTCGTTAACTCTGACTCACGTGTGCAAGAGTTACCACGCCCTCTACTGCCGAATGTCGTCCAAGTGGGCGGAGTTACTGCTGCACCAGCACAACCTTTAGAAAAGGTATACGCACATTGTATATAATGAGTAAGGTTATAATTATGTTTTTGTTTGTTTTGCAAACCTACTTACCTTAATTAAGCTGATTATTCTATGGACCCTGAAATAAAAAAAATCGTCTTTTACCTTTTCTAGGATCTCCAGGAGTTTTTCGAAGGTTCCGGTCCACACGGCGTGGTCGTTATTTCCATGGGAACGTCGCTTGGATTTGACGAATCAAGCAGTCGTGATGTATGTAGCTGGTGCCTTGTCACGTTTAGAGCAGCGAGTACTGTGGATGCATCGGGGAACACGACCAACCAACATTGGCAACAATACTCGGCTAGTCGACTGGATACCTATCAATGACGTCTTGGGTATGAACTGGTTTGTAAAATAATACATCCAACTGGTGGATTGTTGGAAAAGTATCATGTTACTAGAGGTTTGGCTGTAAAGATAATGCAAAAAAGTGCGAGGGAAAATGGCTTTATATGCTCAAATAAAAAATTATTACTGATTATTATAATAAAACAAACTTTTTACATTATAGTGTGTTCCGGTCACGTGCTTCGATTCCAATATGGCGACTCGGCCTTTATTTTGCTCAATTAAATTATTAGGTTTTTCTATTTGTCTTATGAATTATTTTGCAATGCTAGATGGAGAGTGAATTTTTAAATGCCATGCAAATATTTCAGAGGAAACATCAAGTTTGTCCATTTTTTTTCAATCTTCTCAGGTCACCCCAAAACCAAAGTTCTTGTCAACCACGGCGGGACGAACACTGTCCTAGAAGCTATCTACCACGGCGTACCTATGGTTCTGATTCCGCTGGCTAACGACATGTTTGATATCACAGATAGGGCGGTGTGTAGGGGTGTGGCTTTAAGACTCAACATGCCGACACTCACGGGGGACGTCCTAATAGAAGCCATCAAGAAAGTTGTCTCTGAACCGAGGTGCATTTTTACAACAAAAATCCAGTAAATTGTTCTTTTTCCAACAATTACATTACACGGAATAAACACATTCATTTAACAACACACAGAGAAATGTCACCATTTTTTCTTTTGCTATTTCTGCAGATTTCAAGACGCATCTTCTCATCTATCGGCGGTGTTCAAAGAAATAACGCCCTCACCGGTTGACACAGCCGCCTTTTGGATCGAGCACGTGCTCAAACATGGCGGCGACCACCTCCAACAAGAGTTCGATCAATCACTGAATATTCATGAGTCCATGTTCCTTGTGAATCTGCTCATTGCTGGTACTTTTGTCGTTTTTGTAAAAGTGGTATCGAAGGTTTACGATGTCATATGCAAATTGTAGAGGGCTAACTAGAATATCGGCTCAGCAGAGGACATCACGCAGTGATACATGAATTCCAAATTACAATCTTATCACCCAAACGATCGAAATAATTTAAAAAGCACAACAGTACATCTCTTTTATAAATGGCTGGATTTTAAAGAATCGAATTTGTTTTGCAGGTGGTTGACAAACAACGTAACAATTAATAATCCGCGGTACGGTTTGGTATTCAATTCAAGAAACAGTAGTAGATTAATGCAGCATTTTATAGCTGCTTGAGAAATACGGGCAGCTCGACCTCATAAAGCTTTCTGCACATTCTGCACGCGATTTCATTGGACGTTTTCTTTTATTTCATGTTTGTTCGATTTATGACGTAACGCCAAGGCAACCACGGTTTTCAAGTGCCAGGTGGGTTCGGGCATTTTGTAAAAAAGGCCGGTACATTTATATTGAGCGGTGTTGTTCGAGTGCACTTCAGACCGGTAGTGTGAATACGCTATTCCGGAAGTATACCCGCTCACGACAGTTTTTTGGGGGTCTGGTCCGGTGTCTCGTAGTTTCGTTGATCAGTCTTTGTATTTTCCGCACGTCGTTTCGTTATCGTTTTGAGCTTGCTTGGAACTTTTTTCATCGATGCATGTTTTTGCTCTCAACGCTTAGGCGGATGATTTTGTAGCCCGATCCGAACTAGTGCAACAAACGTCTGTTGTTCTGACAAAATAAAGTTCGACATGTGCTCATTCTATAAATTTACCATTTGTTGGTTTGGGTTTCTTGGGGTGTTGTTAAGTGGGCGTCTTACTCTTATCAATTGCTCCCGAATTCTGGTATCAATTCCGCTAGCCTCTACTCGCAGTCACTACATGTGTTTCCGTTTGGTAATGGGAGCGCTGACTTCTCGACGACACGAGGTGACGTTCATCATGTCAATCCTCAACGTCGCCTTATCGCATAACAAGACGACACTGGATGAGAAGTTTAACTTCATTCTCTATGAAGGGCCGTTTGATGCGTCCCAGTATGACGAAATTCTACGGCGATTTCAAGAACAGATTACCAGGAAGAACACCGTAGATGACCGCCGGTTGAAAAATTGGATGGCAGCGGCTGATAGTGTGTCAAACACCTCCACGCAAAATCCTTGGCATAAAACTGCCGTCGAGTGCGATTCTATTCTCGGCAATTTCACTCTGCTGTCCACGCTGAAAAGTGCCAAATATGATCTTCTGATAGGCGACCCGGCGGCTAATTTATGTACACCTTTATTGGCAGAGGTTCTGTCTATTCCCTTCCTCCAATATTCAATTCAAGGACTTCGAGTTATGCATCACGATCGATGGTTCAACCAGCCTATCTATCCCTCCTTCATGCCGATGCCTCTAATGTCGTTCTGCGATTCCATGTCATTCAAAGTCCGACTTAAAAATTTCATTTCCTACAAGTTTGCTAGCCTGCTCATAGATAGCAATGCCTTCGCTGCGTTTGAAAAAGTTAAAGAAAAACACGTCATTCGGCCGGATGCGTCGCTTGGCAACCTGTTGATGCGATCCCAGCTTCTTCTCGTGAACTCCGACCTACGCGTGCAGGAGTTTGCACGCCCTTTTCTGCCGAATGTCATACCAGTGGGCGGAGTTACTGCTGCACCAGCACAACCTTTAGAAAAGGTATATTAGATTCGTATGTTTGTTTTTGTTCGTTGTTTGTTGGGGTTGTTTGTTTTGCAAACCTACTTACCTTAATTAAGCTGATTATTCTATGGACCCTGAAATGAAAAAAATCGTCTTTTACCTTTTCTAGGATCTCCAGGAGTTTTTCGAAGGTTCCGGTCCACACGGCGTGGTCGTTATTTCCATGGGAACGTCGCTGGGATTTGACGAATCAAGCAGTCGTGATGTAGCTGGTGCCTTGTCACGTTTAGAGCAGCGAGTACTGTGGATGCATCGGGGAACACGACCAACCAACATTGGCAACAATACTCGGCTAATCGACTGGATAACTATCAATGACGTTTTGGGTATGAACTGGCTAGTTTGAAAAGTTTACTTAAATATATATGTTTTTATAGGCCTACGTATTTTTTCCGGCCACGTGGTTCACAGTTCCAATTCTCAACATGGCGACTCCGCCTGGGTTGTATACAGGCCTAATGCCCAAAATAATTAACAACAGTCACTAAACTGTGAAAAGTGGTTTTACGATTTTTCTTGTACTTTCCCTCCGTGTACAATAAATGCCATGCCCATTTCCCGAAAGTAACATCTGTTTTTCATCCATTCTTTTTTGTTAATCTTCTCAGGTCACCCCAAAACCAAAGTCCTTGTCAACCACGGCGGGACGAACACTGTCCTAGAAGCAATCTACCACGGCGTGCCTATGGTTCTGATTCCGCTGGCTAACGACATGTTTGATATCACGGATAGAGCGGTGTGTAGGGGTGTGGCTTTAAGACTCAACATGCCGACACTCACGGGGGACGTCCTAATAGAAGCCATCAAGAAAGTTGTCTCTGAACCGGGGTGAGTTTAAACCCAACATTGTCTGTTGATCATTTTTTTCCTCCAACAATTACATTGTATCTCATAGCCTTATTAATTTAAGCACACTGAGAAATTTGAACCCCCCCCCCACCCTTATATTTTTCTCTTCAGATTCGAAGAAACGTCCGCTCAACTATCGGCGGTGTTCAAAGAAATGACGCCCTCACCGGTGGAAACAGCCGCCTTTTGGATCGAGCATGTGCTGAAACATGGCGGCGACCACCTCCGACCAAAGTTTGCTGAATCGCTGAATATTTATCAGTCCATATTCCTAGTGATTCTGTTCATTATTGGTGTCAGTTTTCTTGTTTTTGTTAAAGTGATGTCTTATTTATGGCGGTGTACGAAGAAAAGGGTTAGCTAATGTCAAAGTTAGAAATTGTTTTAACAGAGAACAGCGCGCAGTACAAACATGAATTAGACCTATAGTACAATTTTATAACCCATAAGGATGTTCCATAGTTCACGAATCATAATAGACCTACAAAGCACAAGTCAATAATGGCATCTATTCCACATAATGTCGAACAATGCAAAATAACCAGCCTCACCAGCAGTCACTGTTCAGATTTTAATAGTGACGTACAGCCCGTCACTTTGTAATTGGTATAACACAGTAGGTAGGCCAGAAGATGCATCATTTTTTGCTGGTACACAGATTATTGCAGCATTGTAAATATTAATGTTTATACTGGTAGCCTTAGTTTGGTTGAAATAAATGTTGGTTTCGTCCCTATAGAACATGCCTGCACAATATTCAAACAAAAGACAATACAAATTCTTTTTGAAAGTTTACCTACCATACATTTTTTTTATTAAAAAAGTGTCAATTGTTTTTAAAAGTATAGCTGTTGGAGTGCCGGGGCCTGGGTTCGAATCCCGATATGTGGCTTCGAATACTAGGTCATCTGACTTAGAGATTTAGGCACAGTATTCAGTAGATTCAGTAGATTCAGTAGATTATCCGGATTTTCAGAGCGATGGGTACAGAATTAAATGCCTCGTCTCAAGCGGAGTTCCCATTGCGAGTACATATATATTTGCAGGGCATGGGTTATACCGAAACAGATATTTTCTATTACTGCTGGCAATTATTAAACATTTAAATAAAATCTAGAAAATATTTCGTTTAATTTAATCTAATTCTGTTTTAACTTCTTACGAGCAAAATATATTTTCAATTTCTAACTTCATTTTAAATCCGTTAAAAAATTCCACAACTAAAACATGGAGAGAAATACGAATAGACCAACTTTAATCAAACAATACAACATGATCCGGTAATATTTCAGGATGAATTTGTTTTTTCGTCATATACATGTAGTATTTCGTACCGCTATGAAAAAAAAAAGTCATTGCACTTTTTCAGTATTACACTGCAGACAAGGAATAGTCAAACGCACGAAAAAGACTAGCAAGAACGTCCAAAGCGTCACGTGATCGGCCCGCACGTGATTCTTCACGTGATCGACTGCTCGAAGAGTTACACAAGCCAGGTATAAAAACAACTGCGCTGATTGTTTTTAGACCAAATCACCGGACTCTGGTGGGGCAGCGGGATGCAGCAACTGAGTCTAGCGGGCCTAGGGCTCGCTCTGACCCTCCTGGCTTTGCCGGGAGGGTCGAATGCCTTCCTGGATTCGATGTGTAACTCCACACATTCAATCTACGACACGTCCGTCAGTTTGCTGAATGGCACCAGTTACAAACTGGACCAATACAGCGGTAAAGTGTTGGTCATCGTCAATGTGGCTAGTTTCTGAGGTCTAGCCGCCCCTCAGTACCCTTCACTGAATGCACTCCGCAAGGCGTACGAGGGAAAAATCGAGATTCTGGGCTTCCCCTGCAACCAATTCCTGCTGCAGGAGCCGGAAGCAAACGGCGAGATTCTCAACTTGTTAAAGTATGTCCGACCTGGGAAGGGATTCATGCCGACTTTCCCCATGCACGAAAAGGTGGAAGTCAATGGAAAGACTGCCCATCAGCTGTACAAGACGCTGAAGGTATGTGGGCAATCATGCATAGTGTACATGTATTTAAAAATTATACAGTTTGAGATCGAATTGTTTTGATTATAAAACAAAAAAAATTGCATTAGTGGAATACAACCCTCTTTATGACTGTGTTCTGGTAATATCACTTGTGCAGTGCTAGTGCCGTTTCCATAATGTGACGTCTTTTTACTCATGTTCAGTCTTTCTCATTCTCTCTTTTTCATCCCGTCAGGGTTTCTGTCCAGCAGTCAAGGAGGAGATTGGTGACCCAACCAATTTCTACTGGACTCCTATCAGCAACAACGATATCACTTGGAACTTTCAGAAGTTCCTGATTGACACCAAAGGGTTCCCCTTCAAGCGTTATGACCCACTGGTGGATCCTTCGATGTTGAAGACTGACATTGACGCGCTGCTCAGCAAATCCAAATAATTTACTTGAATTTCTTCATTTTCATAAGGAAACCACCACCAGCCCCCACCCCCACTTTCTCAGGGTCCCAATTTTACAGCTTTGTGAAATAATTTTTCTTAGCAGACAATAAATCATGTGCTTTGCAAAATTCAGATAATAACCAAGTGAATATCAAATGACATTTTACCTGGTTCTTTTCGTATAATTTAACAATGAAATCTCACCCTGAAATACACTATACTATCAGACATCTGAAATCTTCAACATTTGAAGTGATCTGTTCAATACATTTTGGTGAGGTTGGAATTCAAACACTTACCTTGCCTTGGATCCTGGTTCGATTCCCACCTAGTTTTCCTTACAACTAACGGCAATCAAAGCTTTATTTTCCTCTTGAAATCTTCATTTTCCTCTTTCCTTTTTGCGATCCTGAAGCTGATAAAGAATTTTTTTTATAAAATAATACTTTTCTTTACAATAATTAATCCCCCGTTTGAGTCCCCAATTTTCGCACAAATAAAATATCTCAAAAACTGTATGTTAAAATTTGTATTTTCAAGATGAAATTTCCAATTCAAGTAAACCACTTACGTTTACAGTAGTTAGCAGTAAAGATTGTAAGACATGCATTTACAAATGTATTCATAGTACTTAATTGATGGCTTTGTAAAGAACTCGAGCTTTCTGTGCGATAAACTTGTGATACACAATTTATGACGAGCAAATCTTAAACGCTTTGTGCGAGGGGTTTGTTCCGATGTCACCCTACATGTCTGCCCTTGTGCATTCGGGCACGCATGGAAAGAGTGAGTGTGTAGACACAATGCAGAAATGTTTGTAAAATCCTACAGAGTCTTGATTTCTTTCTTGGTCATGGAAAACCAATTTTTGTAAAAGCAAGCAAACAGGATGAACATGTAATTTGTTTGAATTAAATATTCTTTACAACCAGTCAATACCTTTGTATGTTTGTGTTTTCTCTTTCATATGTTCCTCTTGAACTTTGGGAGTTGTTATGTTGCCTCAAAGGTTTCTGTATGTGATACAAGTACACAAGCATGCAACTTTAACAAACATTCATTTTCATAATTGACTTAATCTTTTATTTGGCGTTTTGAATTCTCACTTTATATTTATTTGTTACAATTTTAATATTAACTTTTTATCACCTGGGCTCAATAAAATTACGGTTTTTATACACAAAATAAGACTATACATTTATACATGGGATAATGCCACTTTCGTGTATGCTTTATACAAAAAGAAAATGTCTTTCATTTAGGTGAAATCTGGTAAGATCAGCCAGTTTAAGTAGAAAATACATCCCAGAATGGGAGTATTTTCTACCACGAGCAAGCTATCTTCCACAAAGGAAATTTACAAATATTCAACTGAAATCTGATGACTGCTATCAACGCTTGAATCTGATTGATTTTGGAACAATTACAGGTTAAACAATTTGAAAAAAAAACCCCACAAATCAAAGAAAATCAAAGAGAACTTTAAGAAACTCAGAAAATCAGAATAATAATTCTGAAAATTAAAGATACGGACATAAGATGACTACAACCCAAACAATTATGGTGATGACATAAGAGTTCATACAAAAATCCTCAGATTATTCAAGAATGTATACAGGTACATGTAGTAAAATAAAACACAAAAACTAATCATAAAACTGTTTTTTCAAATAAAATTAAACTTTACTAGTGAAATGTATCTCAGTTGCGTTGACCAATGACCTTAGATGAGGGATATTTTTTGCTCACTAAGCATAGCTATGGTGGTGTAAGAAAGAAAAATAAGATTGCCTTTAAATTTGTGCCTCTTTAATCAGAGCTTTACTTTCATTGAAATGTTCCATTTCATCATGCACACAGCTGTGTCGTATACTGCCTAGTTCATTTAAGCAGTTTTAAGTAAAATAAGTGGTTCACATCTAGGTTGGGTTTATGGCACTTGTATAGAAATTTATCAGCTACATGTACATGTGTATATCAATTTATTTTTAAACTTAACCATGTATGCACACAGGGCCTCCTAATACAAACACACAGATGTTTCCTTGTTCTCCAAAACAAAAATCTTGAGGTTTGGACTTCAATCGGTGCAGAGATTACGACAGTGATTAAAGCAATGTCCAGAGATTTTGCTTACACAATTTTCATTGACCCAGAATGCTCCAAAAAATGGGTAAATATGTTGTGAAAAATATACACATTTTATTGTTGGCATGGATGTCTCATTATTTGGGGTCTGTTATCAAAATTTTGGAATGATCTCTCAAGACCAGTGTCTTGTTTTCAATATTTAACAAATGTGTTAAAAGGAAAGAAAAAATGTCCTGCTGGAATTCATTTTCAATTTGTTTGAATGAGATTACAACTTACTGCATTTGATGCATGCATAAATACTATCAACTCTGCACCAGGTACAATGAGCATGGCTTACACTCTGAAGTGGTCAGAGTTTGGGGGATTATTGCATCTACATAAATTGAACCATTCAAATCTACAACCTGTCAGTGGTAGATGTATTGATAACTTCAGAACTATCCAGTTCAACTTGATCGATGGATTCAAAAGCTCATCAAACGATGCAATACTGGCCAATGTTCTTTGAGAAGAATCATTATCATCACACCATGTGAGGACTTTCCTGCTCGACTAAAGTGCCTTCAATTTCATCCCAAGCAGCTGATTCAAGAATGATCTTCGTCTCACTTCTGGACTATCCAACTCGGTTGGAGAGTCTTCCTCTTCATCCTCAGCGATGATGTAAGATACCTATTCAAGGCCCAGTGGACACACCTCAACAAACCACGACCTGATAAGAATTCAAGAATTATCTTCATCTAACTTGTGGAGTGAACTTTGTTGGAGTGTCTTCATTTCATCCACAGCGACAGGTTCAACAGAATATAAAACATATTGCTATATCAAATAAGAGTCCAGCTCTTTATGTAGGATGTTTGTTGAGTGCTTAGTAGGGAACGTATATTCCTCATTTGACAAGACCAAGACTGACTGCAAACTCTCTCAAAAATCACAGTAAGCAAGGCAGGTGAAGAGGTTCTTGTTTTGTCAGCTTCATATACATGTATACACATGCGGACGTATGCCATGGCATCACAGCTTCCATGCAGTGCTTGAGGTTATACAACCACAACAAGGATAGTCCTTACTCTGGGAAACTTCCAATGAGAAGAAAAAGACATCAAGGAAAAAGATATATCTTGATACCCACTTGCATGGCCAGATGAGCACTGCTGGCCAATGCATTTCATCATCCCTTAAATACATATCACTTGCATACAGGTATGATACTTCCATGTCAACTCATACAAAAGGCAAGGTGTCAAGAAAGAAATTTGTTGGGTTTTTTGTCAGCCTGAAAACTGACTTAGAAATCATTGTGGATGTGTGTCACGTGGAAAGTTGAAGATTTCAAGAAAGAGAATGGTTGTTTTTCTCAAGACACCGACTTGCATGCACGGGTGGGAGATGTTTGCCTACACATCTCATCATCTGAAGAAAACTTAACACTCATTGCATCAAATATTCATAAATCTTTGTAAACTCATGTCACGTGGAAAGTCAAAGATTTCAAGAAAGATTGGTTGTTTTTCTCAACAAGACACCTACTTGCATGCACGGGTGGGAGATGTTTGCCTACTCATCTCATCAGAAGAAGAATACTCAACACTCATTGCATCAAATATTCATAAATCTTGTGTCACGTGTAATGTAAGAGATTTCAAGAAATAGAATGGTTGTTTTTCTCAAGACACCGACTTGCATGCACGGGTGGGAGATGTTTGCCTGCACATCTCATCATCTGAAGAATACCTAACACTCATTGCATACAGATATGTGTAAATCTTTGTAAACTCGACCCGGAAAGTCAAAGATTTCAAGAAAGAGAATGGTTGTTTTTCTCAAGACACCGACTTGCATGCACAGGTTGGAGATGTTTGCCTACATATCTCATCAGAAGAAGAATACTTAACACTCATTGCATCAAATATTCATAAATCTTGTGTCACATGTAAAGTCAGAGATTTCAAGAAAGAGAATGGTTGTTTTTCTCAACAAGACACTGACTTGCATGCACGGATGGGAGATGTTTGCCTACGCATCTTATCATCTGAAGAATACTTAACACTCATTGCATCAAATATTCATAAATCTTGTGTCCAGGTAATGTAAGAGATTTCAAGAAATAGAATGGTTGTTTTTCTCAAGACACCGACTTGCATGCACGGGTGGGAGATGTTTGCCTGCACATCTCATCATCTGAAGAATACTGAACACTCATAGCATACAGATGTGTGTTAATCTTTGTAAACTCGACCTGGAAAGTCAAAGATTTCAAGAAAGAGAATGGTTGTTTTTCTCAAGACACCGACTTGCATGCACAGGTGGGAGATGTTTGCCTACACATCTCATCAGAAGAAGAATACTTAACACTCATTGCATCAAATATTCATAAATCTTGTGTCACGTGTAAAGTCAGAGATTTCAAGAAAGAGAATGGTTGTTTTGCTCCACAAGACACCGACTTGCATGCACGGGTGGGAGATGTTTGCCTACACATCTCATCAGAAGAAGAATACTCAACACTCATTGCATCAAATATTCATAAATCTTGTGTCACGTGTAAAGTCAGAGATTTCAAGAAAGAGAATGGTTGTTTTTCTCCACAAGACACCCACTTGCATGCACGGGTGGGAGATGTTTGCCTACGCATCCCATCATCTGAAGAATACTTTACACTCATTGCATCAAATATTTATAACTCCTTGTAAACTTGTGTCACATGGAAAGTCAAAGACTTCAAGAAAGAGAATGGTTGTTTTTGTAAACAACACACCGACTTGCATGCACAGATGGGAGATGTTTGCCTACACATCACATCATCTGAAGAATACTTAACACTCATTGCATCAAATATTTATTAATCTTGTGTCACGTGGAAAAACAAAGATTTCAAGAAAGAGAATGGTTATTTTTCTCAACAAGACACCCACTTGCATGCACGGATGGGAGATGTTTGCCTACTCATCTCATCATCTGAAGAATACCTAACACTCATTGCATACAGATATGTGTTAATCTTTGTAAACTCGACCTGGAAAGTCAAAGATTTCAAGAAAAAGAATGGTTGTTTTTCTCCACAAGACACTGACTTGCATGCACGGGTGGGAGATGTTTGCCTACACATCTCATCACAAGAAGAATACTCAACACTCATTGCATCAAATATTCATAAATCTTATGTCACGTGTAATGTAAGAGATTTCAAGAAATAGAATGGTTGTTTTTCTCAAGACACCGACTTGCATGCACGGGTGGGAGATGTTTGCCTGCACATCTCATCATCTGAAGAATACTTAACACTCATTGCATACAGATATGTGTAAATCGTTGTAAACTCGACCCGGAAAGTCAAAGATTTCAAGAAAGAGAAAGGTTGTTTTTCTCCACAAGACACCCACTTGCATGCACAGGTGAGAGAGATTGGAATTTTTATTTTCTGAAAATAAGATATGTAGCATCAGAGTTTAATATTCTGTTTCCTATTTACCCAAAAGTCAGGTACATTTATGATGGAAAATATGGTGACAGTACTGCAGTAAGTTGTGGAAAAGTTAACAAGTTCCTGTATAGTTTTTGTGGCTTACATATAGTTTACAAACTAGAATATACATCAGGTCAAAGGTCAAAGGTCAACAGCAACTGCTCTAGATTTGGTTTTAAACAAAAGGTGTTTTGTAAAATTAGTTGTGACATCATGCAAATGATTCTTTGTTAATAAACACAGTCTACAGAGCTGTGGTCTGAGAACATTCAGCTGAATTCTTATGAAATTAGCTTTTCAGATTAAACTTTGAATGAGTTGCTTTTTTAATAATCATTTTTTGATCAAAAAGTAGCATTAAACTCTTGGTCCAATTTCATCCCGCAATTGGGCCCAAGTTCACAGCAAGGAAATTGTTTGCATCAAGACTCAAGAATTTCTGATACATGTACGTGTATCAGTAGTGCTAAAACAATCATCAGTTGGCCACTAGCATTTTCGAGCTATGATGGACACAATATGAGGGCGCTATTTCATTTGGGTAAAGTCTTATGTGCATATTTTCCCAAATTGACCTAAAAAGCGCCCTCCTAAAAAAAAAAGCTTATCTCAGTGTTAGTTTTGGTGCCAGGTTTGGATGGCAACTGGAGGTGCACTGGTAAAATCAAGACGTGCAGCAAACAGGGTTAATAAAACGTCTTTCACATTAACACAAGAACTGTTGGGATTACCATGTGCTTAGGATCCTGTACTATTACCGCATGTCAATCATCTGAATAGAAACATTGCTAGCTATCTTGACATGTTGGCCTTCTTCATAGATCGTGGGCTGGGAGGGATGGGGGTGGAACCCCGCCTCCTTGCAGTTACTGATGAAGTTTACGCCGTAGTCAGGTGTCAGGGAGAAATAACCCGTCCTGAGAGGGTGACAGATGGATGGAAGAATGGTTAGACATGTGGCAGGAACTAGTCAAGAATTCTCCAAGAAAAATATTTTAAAAGTGTCACAATACCCTATTTATTAATCTGAAAATAAATTTTTCCAAGAGGCACACTGAATTCAAATATGAAACAGTTTGACAGAAAAGGTCTTTTTTTTTAACACAAAGTCCCCGTTCAAATAGTGGCAGTGCTCATGTGGTTTTGAAAAGATTGCCATAATGCCTTTTCAGAAAAAAAGGATTAGAGGTTTGGAGGATTTATGAGAGAAAGGTTGAAGAACCTTTTAGTACTTACTGATTATGAGCTGGTGCACAGACGATTGCTATAGCCTCAGCCATCATGACTTGATATGGACAATGAGTGTGAAGATCGATACTAGACATAAACGCTGTCTGTGTGGGATGAGTCTGCAAAGATGTTATTTCAAAGTCTCAATTAGTATCGAGTCTGGGCATGACCTACAGAGGGCAGTGTTCAGCTTATTAAGATTCTAAATATCAAAGTTCCCATAACTGGGCTGACCAAGAAAACTGCTATCTAGGTATTTCCATCCACAATCAGAATCAGCATCTCTTATTAAAAACCAAAAGAGCAGTTCTAAAGTGCTGACACGAATAAACTTGGTAAACATATGAAATTATAAATAATTTTTGCAAATAACCCTGGAGTCACTATCAAGTTTGTAATCCTGGACATTTTGTCCAGTTTTTGCTGACAAAGACACAATTTCATCACAGAAAATTTAAGGATCTATTGGCTTACATGAATCCATCCTAACGTGATGAGATCTTTCTTGTCCATGACATCAAAGATTTCTCCTTCGTTCACAGCCGTGCAGGAATCTGACGTCGACGTTTGCTTAGGAACGACGATGTGTGTGATGGTAAATGCATCATGGGACTGCAAGGGGGTAAATGTGGAGTAAATCATCAGTTGGACAATTTAAGCTGACGTTGTGATCTGGGTTCGAATCCACCCAGATTGAACTTTGGATAGGAGAGCTTTCAGGAAGCAGTGAGCATACATATGACAATTATGAACAGATGAAAGGAACAAAGTCAACTTGTATAAGTGTAACTACATTAACAATGTTGGTAGTTTTAACTTACCAGTTTACCAGCCAGTATACCGCATGTTTCCAAGTTCTTTGCTGTGTTGAGGTTTGCTATCGATAAGAATCTCTCTACCGTGTCCACGGGTACAAACAGGTCTCTCATCCCATAACGGTTCTTGGAGCTTGGGACGCTGCTTAGCAGATTTGAAGGCTTGGTTGACCGGTCAACTTTGAGGCTACGATCAACTGCTGGCGGGACGGGGCTAGATGAAAGAATTCAAATGAAAATATAGATGTAGGAATCCAAGAGTTTTAATTAGACAGAGCACCCTCTATTGACCCAAAGGAACTCAGATCATGTGACTTTGATCATGTGACCTCTATAAGACAATGATGTATGGACTTGGTAGTTTTTCTCACCTTGCAGTTGGTTTGGGGGTTATGTAATCCTCGGCGGGTTTGTAGACTGAATAACCTCCAGCCTTGACAGCATCGTATGAAGGAGGGGGTATACTAGGGGGCGTGGCTGAGGGTATGGCCCCGCCCGCTGCTTGTGCTGCTGCTGCTGCTGCTGCTGCAGCTGCTGCTGATGCAGCCAGCGCTCGTTTCTCTTCCTCCTCTCTCTGTTGCGCTCGTTGCTGCTCTTCAAGAATTGCTCGTCTTTGTTCCTCTAATTCTCGTTGTTGTTCCTCCCTCAACGATCGCTCCTTGGCCTCTTGGAGTTGTCTCCTCTCCTCTTCTTCTTCTTCATGTTTCCGTCTTCGCTGTTCATCCCATTTCTCCTGTTCCTTGCGCAGCTTTTCCTCTTCCAAAAGTCTTTGTGTCTGTAATCGTAATACAACAAAAAGCTCATTCCCAAACATTTTAAAAGTGGACTGTGCCAGAAAAAAAACTAAATGCAAGTCTACAGATTCATCTCTGCTAAGTTAAGTCAAATGTAATCCAATGCCAGGCAAGAGTGAAGCCTGCTGAATCCAACACAACCCTTCAACTAGAAAACTAGGTCTTTTGATAACTCTTCTTATTACCAAATTCCACTTAACTGTTGAAATGGTCGCGTCAAATTACATGTAATATATCATCATAACTCACCTCTCTTTCCTCCCATATCCTAAATTCCTTTTCAAATTTCTGCTTAAGTTTTGCTTTAGTGTCCTCTGCTCTTGGAAAAGCTTGCTTGACTTTCTGAAATGTAAAGGAAATATCCGATGATACACCAGCGTAGCCACATGGCCATTTTTGTAACAAAGAATGACTCTGTATGTAATTCGAATTCAAGCTGGAAACATAATGCAACCTTTGGGTTCAACTGATATCAAACTCTGACCCCACAGATGGAGTTGATGCTTCCTGCAAGCTCCAATAATAGGAATGTGGTCACCCTATACACATGGGAGGGATATTTTCTTTCTAGAAACTTCCTGGTTGCATTCAATCTAACGCGATGCAGTATTTCAATAGGAACTCTGTAACATGAAATAATGCTTGTTTGGTACTTTATCCATTAAAACAATGCATAACACCAGAATTGAAATACCCATAATGGCCTCGGTATTCAACCTTCTGTTTCTTAACAAAACATTAGAAAATTGAATATTTTGAACAACACATCCTAAAGTTCAGCTATTACATGTAAATTAAAAGACCTTACAGAAAGTTGACAGTTAATCACATTTCTTTACAAACGTGTACATGTACATTGTTTCCAGGGTCAATACAATTATTGTCAAAACTACATTTAAAGAAAAATGTTAACTGCATGGTCAAAAAGAGGGGGAAAACTAACAAACTGTACCCTTTTGGTCTCTTTAATATCTTCTGGTCTGGACTGTTTGTACTGAGGATGCTTCGGTAACTTCTCCACAAAAATGCTGAGCGTGCAAAGATAGAGAAAAAGATATTGGTCGGGCAGTTCCATCTTGACAAATGTGCCTCTTGTTACATCTTCCGACAATTTGTCCAAATGTTAGTGTGTGTTGTGTTCATAAAGTCTTGTGTATTTCAAAATGCAAGCCAAACCATAGGCTTCAAAGAAAATATAATTATGTTGATGATGTTTCTATAAACATACACATTACAAGTTGTTATAATTACTCAATGAGTGATCTGCAACATGCATATGAGTTCATCAAAACCCATGTCATCATTTCTATTTTTAGACCAATGAGTCAGGCATATATAGGCATTTCTTTGTGCACTGTGTAACTATTGTACTCTGTATTTGCAGTCATGCTCACAAAGCAAAGGTCAAAGTTCAACCTATTCAAACCTAGATAATTCTAGCAATGTACATCACGTACGTGCAGACAGCATTGGAAGATTATTAAATCTGTGAAATCAATACGTTTTGGCGAATATAATTTTTTTTAGAGCCAATGCCATTTTTCTCGACAATTCCTCAATATTAAGAGACAATAAAATTTCATTTGTGATCGTTTGATATTCAAAACTATTGTAGTATGTTTTTCTGGAATAAATTTTAAGACAAACCACACCTCTCTTATCAAGGTTTTAAATGTCGAAATTGTTAATTTTCCATTTTATCCTTATGAGCCAAAATGCTGAGCCAAAATGCTTACGTGATGAATTTGGAGTACAAGATGAAGGCATTTTCATAATTATGTTCCTCGTAGTAGACATCAGCCTATGTGAAAAACAGAACATTCTGAAAATCAAAACCTAATAAAAATCAGGGAAAAAAACTATTTGAAAGAAAAATGGACCTTACAAGATTTGTTTCTTTTCCCCACATTCTTGGCTAATTCTTCATGAGACTTACCATTCTCATCATTTCTTTGCCAGATCTGAAGTACCTAATGACTGGTACATTGTGATCTACCTCCACGGCCGAGCCTAGATGGGCTAGAGACCTCACCCTGTCTGACGGGGGCTCACACACTGCTACTGCCATCTTCCTCAGCAACATTTGAAAGAAAAGAAAATTAGTCAAAATTAGTGTCCCAAAAAAGATCTCACACCCTTCATATAATAATGTCACAACTGTCATAAAGAGATCCTTGCAACATCAGCTCTACATTACTTTGTAATAATGACACTGAATGTCAGGCCTGATTTCAATTTTTTTTTTACCATGTTATTACAATGGCAACACAGGCAGCCTCCCCCCTCCCTCAGCCTATTTCATTCTAATTTCTAGGAATGTAGGCTTATTTATTTGGCATCTACATGGACCTACCAAACTAGTTGGCGACATTCTCAATAAACAGGTATGTCATAGATACTCGTTCATTAAAAAAAATATTGAGGATAGCCGACCGCGCCCTCAACTCGGTGACTGACTTGACCGAGTCAGCGAGCGAGTTGATGGCCGCGCTGCCGCGTCATTTTCGGTCCTGTTTTCTTACCGTATTGATGCTGACAAACCTTGCAAAATGCTCAAATCGGTCTTCGAATTATTAGCATAAGTTGTGCACAGGCTAACATGAACATATGTGCTACACTGCGGTTCATTTAATCATTTCAAAATTCAAGTTGGTTGACGACCAGCCTGAAAAATAAACACAGGACGCCGCCATATTAGTCACTTAGCTGGTGACGCGCCGGCTGTTGACATACTTTACACGCGCTTATTTGCGCCGGGAACCAGTCACGTCATCAGCAGGTGAAAATGACAAAATTTGCTATTTATAAATTTTGAAGTGGTGTTGTTTGTTTTTGGAAGTCATGCATTAGACCTGTCATATAGTTTACTTTATTTGGTTGACGGGTTGATTATTTTAAAATTACGTTTCAAAGTATATATTTTGACATAGGACAGTCCCCTACCTTTAATACTGTAAAAAAAAAAAACGGGGAGCGATAAGCATGATAAGCAAGTTGGTGGGGTGTGTTCCCTCATCATGCCACCATGGAGGATGCCACATGCCACATATGGGACTCGGGGGGGGGGGGGAGAGTTGACAAAATAACTTATTCATTTTCTTTTATGGAATTTGTGGGGAAAAGGACATTAGTTTATGGAGCTACAAAACGTAGCTCCTGATTATATATATTTATTGGAAAAGGCATGCAAAAGGTAATTCTCATTACTCTCGGGAATGAGTCGATGATCACTTTTAAGTTTTAGTAGAAGTTTTTTGGGGGAAGGGCTGGGGGGCGAGGAGTAAATTCATCCCCTCCCATCCCACATCTACACAGAAACGTTGAAGGATATGGATGGAAACACTTGCAAATTAATGGAGGTAGGGAAACAACAATAAGGGTGTACATGTATTTCCCTTTTTAAATGCCAACAATCAAAAGAAGACGACGTCTAAAACACTATGGACACCGGTCCTTTTGAGGGCGCTGTTTATACTTAACGGTCTAAAAAAAAATCGTACTTTTTAACTGCAACCCATAGAGGGCGCACTTTCTTCGCAACGTGTGCACTTTTCGTGTTGATGTTTTGATAAACTGCCACTGCGTGTTCGTCGTCGTGTTTGTGCGCTTGCTGCAAGACTCGATCTTATAGAATGGAGGCGTTTGAATTCATCGCCTTTAATATCTTTTCCTTAATCTTTTTGACAGCGTGCGAGCCTATTATTGGGAATGTTCCTCTCTATGCAACCAAAACAGGCTATGATATCTCTATAGAAACTACAGGCAGAGTGAACAACGTCGAGAAATATTGGTTGGAGTTGGCGAGATCTACCGGTGCCAGCGTTCCAGAAGGCCTGGAAAATTGCACACCTCACGGCGTGTATGCTGTCTACCGACACGGTACACGCTACCCGAGTGACGGTGACATCGAAGACGTCCACAACATCATCGATCGGCTGCGAAGCACAGACGTCAATCCTGAATTCCAGTACCTCCGAGATGCTGTCAAAATCCCCTTGTCCAATGCATCGCAGCTTGCCGAAACTGGTTATAGAGAAATGAGGGAACTAGCAGCGAGAATGGCCAACCGTTTCCCCGTGCTTTTCCCGGACAGTGATGTTGACCTTTCCCGCTACTCGTTCCAAAGCACGGGGAAAACACGCACCATCGACAGCGCGCGTGGTTACATCCAAGGCGTGGTCGGGGAACAACAAATCTGCAAAACAAACTACTCTGAGAGATCCTTTACTGTCAATTGTACAGAAAATGATGGAACACAGACTCCAACCTCGACAACTGTGCCGCATAATCCTATTGACGATGACCTCCTGTTGAGGTTTTATGATGTTTTTGAGGATTGCACGGAGGCAATAAATGGAGGCAGGACTGATCGGGAGCAAGATGAGTTCCGAGATGGGTCAGACGTCGGGGAAGTTTGGCAGAGGGTTGCTGAGAGGTTAGCTGGACCGGGACGTGGCACTTGGAATATCTCAAGAGGTATATATATTAATTATTATCTCAAAAATTGTTTTATCTGGCAAACTGACAAAAATGGTTGTGGAAACAACGATTTCTTGTCTTCATTTTTAGGAAATCAGATACATTTGAAGTGTTTTTGAAGGATTAGAGAGAGGAAGGTACCAGTCTGTCCCATAAAATTGAAAAAAAAAAATTGTTTTCATAAATGATACATCAGCGTGATGTAATTTGATGATGTTACTAGTGATGCTTGGTTTTCAATGTTTTTATTGATAGTTTTAGTGGTTATTGTGCATGAGACGGACCATAGATGGACATATAGTGGTGGATATGTTGATGATGTTCTGTGAAATGAAGATGAGATTGAGGGTGATTTCTTTATTAGATTTCCGTGGTTTAACACCCAATCACTAATGCTTGCCAATTATGTTTTCTTCTTTTTACAGAGGAAGTGATTTTGCTCACTGAAATCTGTGGTTACGACCTTACCCTGAATAACGACAATGAAACCTGGTGTAAGCTATTTGAAACTCAAGACCTCTACGCCCCAGAATACCACTCTGACTTAAAGAATTACTGGAACAAAGCCTATGGGTTTAGCATCAACTACAGAATCAGCTGTACACTTGCCAACGATGCTCTCAAATATCTACAGGATAGAGTAGATAATCCGACGCAGTAAGTTCACTTCACACTCATTTTCTGGCAACAATGCCAGGGATTTCTTTACCATTAATTTTTTTCAAAGCCCCGCCCCTTATTTAGTCCATTTTTTTTAAAGGCCAAAGGGCTAGGATTTTATTCATAAAATGGATTGTTCTGAACTACAGAAGTGACTTTAGTTTTGCTTCTACCTGCCTTGAAGCATGCAAGCTAGGGGTAGGGCGCTCAGTAAGTAGTACGGAATTAGAGCAAATAAATAAAGTAACGTGGCGCTACCTAATAGTAATAAACAAATTACTAAACCTGAAAAATGCCATGGATTCACATTCACAAAAAATGTTTGGGCAGAATAAATAAACACATCAATTGCAGTAATCATAAGCCAAATATTTAATTTGTGGATGTGTGTGTGCACAAACTATATCCCCATGAAACAATCACATAGTGAATGCAGTACGACGTACATGTGAAGTGCATGTGGGCATAGGATAAGTCAGGCCGATAGACGAATAGGCCTTCAGGAATGTGAGCACTCACTGCACAGGCCCCCTTCAATGGCAAAAGCATTGTGCCAGATGTGCAAAGCTTCTGCCCCATGACAGATTATCTGAACAATAGATAGCACATTATAGAATTGATAGCGTGCCTGAATATACTGGGGCTGAGGAGGATAGGCCAGGGTGTGATAAAATCAGAAAACTGGATGTTTAAAATGTTCACTTCCAGTCCATAAGTTAGGGTAGAAGAACATTCCCTGTTAACAATCTTCATCCAATCTTCTTTGTGCTTTTATTTCCTTTTGCAGATCTCCTCTAGGTAACTTCAAATTTGCCCATTCAGAAACCATCGTTCCTCTACTAGCCCTCCTGGATCTATTTGATGAGCCCCTTCCACTCCTAGCATCAAACTTCCTGGAGAACATCAACAGGACCTTCCGAGCAGCCCACATGTCGCCGTTTGCTGCCAACGTGGCGTTTGCCTTATACGGCTGCACCACTGACTCTGCTGTGACATACCGTGTGCAGATGCTCCTCAACGAAAGCCCCGTTCAGTTAGAGTTTTGCGAGGGCCAGTTCTGCACCTTGGAGGAATTTCAGGCAGGAATTGAGGCTAGGATTGGGACTTGTGACTTCACAGAAGAATGCGCTGAAGCACTACAAGACAGGACAACTCCAAACCCAGGGGGCAGTGGGGCTGACATCAACTACTCGGTCTGTTTGCAATTCCTCCTGGCATATGTCATGTTAGTTGCATTGTCTTTCACTGGGGCTAATTAGGTAAACAAAATGTAGATGTTGACAAGATTTTATGTACATAAAGAAATAGGTCACAAGATTGACAAAGCTTCGCAAGAAAACAGTTAAGGCTCGTGCATGCTTCTTTCCTAGTACTGGTATATTATTATGTTACACACTTATAAATGAACTAAAGTTTTATAATCATTATAATTATGCATGTAATACTAACAATGTTTACATATTTTTTTCTCCGGAGTACTAAAAAGACGCATTTCACCTCAATTCTTTCCCCACTATTGAGCAACTCTCAGACATATTTAAAATATATATATATACAAATGTAGGTTATATTTTATGAAAAGAAAATTATCAGTTTGATGAAAAAATGTTTTTAATGTTTTAACGTGGTTTTTAATTAAAAAACTAATATGTATCTGTGGATAATCTTGCAAGGCAAGTGCATATATTGCCAGCAACTTTGCCAAGGATAACATGTACTTGACAATCACTAGTTTTGTACTGTGGGATAACATGTACGATTTCTGCATACATCAACCAAATTCTCATTCGACTCTTTTATAAAAGGGCTATTAAAATATTTAAGGATATTATGAATCAAAATGAGCGGAAACAATTTAAATGCTGGGGAAAAAGAGAGGGCTATTAAAATATTTTAGGACAGTATAAATCAAAATGAACGGAAACAATTTAAATGCTGAGAAAAAAAAGAGAAACAGTTTCAAACTTTCAGGGGAAATTAAATGCTACTGTTATTTTTGATAAAAATATACATGTATGTTGTTTTTGTTCAGTTACTTTTGATTATGTGTATTGATTGTTTATTGCCAAATTATTTTAAGACAATGATGCATGAATTTGCTTACACTTTATTAATGTTGCAATGCAATAAATTCAAAGTGTGCTTGAAAATCTTGGGAAGAGTCAGATCCTTTAAGACTTCAAAAGATGAAACATTAATGACGATATCGTCAAGACCCACAAGGACCACAAAAAAAAAAAAATTATGTGATAAAATTATGTCTTTGGTTCTTCTGCTTCATTTTATTGAAAAATAGACAAACGGCAAAAGTTGCCTTCTCCTAATTCCGTCCACTTACATTGGTTGTTATAATCTCACCAAATGCACGAAACAAAAAGTCAACAAACATTTGACTTCAAGATGCATCAAAAGCTACAACAAACACTTCACTTCAGTGTGACAAAGAAAACTATTTACATACTTTTTAACGAGACTAGCTCACAAAGGGATGAAAGCCTAAATATCTTACATGTATACAATTAATGCACATGACCCAATGGACAACAAAAATCTGTTTTATATAAATTTTCACATTTTTGTTTGTTACAAATGACACTACACACTATATTTCTGACAAATATTCTCAATTGACTTTGAGCGTGAACTGAACCCAGTGATTCATAAACACCAACATCTGGGTCATTTGTGAAAACATGGCAAATCTTCACGCTGTGGCTTTCAGAAGGCCCATGGATGCTGGAGCTATGGATTAATCTGGGCAATGGAGCTTAGTGTTTGAAGTCACAGCCACTTTCATGTGGACTAACAATGTCACTTGATGCAGTGCAACTGCCACACCCAGAATTTCATAAATGACAATGGATTACATCACCTTAATTGCTAAACCTTCATGTACCTATTGTCTTCTGTCTACAGTTCCTGAAGTACTGTTAGAATAATAAAATGCGGCATATGACTGGATTCAGTACTTTGGCATTCATTTATCCAGAGGCTGTGTATCTTTGGGTGATTTAGCTGTGAACAGTGACAGTACAGCATTAAGGACAGGAACATCCTGCCGAGGGTGTTACTGAAACCAATGTAATGATTTTTCCAGACGGTTGACCTTTAGAGGACATAGACTCCACAAGTCATTTTTGGGACCGACCTAAACACTCAAGCCGGGAGAGATAAGCAGACAGTGTACCGGTATTTCTTGTGCCCAAGGCAAGTCATGTTGTCCAGGGTTTGTGATTGTGAATTACAACTCCATACATCCTGGAAATGATAGTTCATGGAGCTCAGTATAAAAACGTAGCTTCATGATAAGGCATGATTATTTATATAAGCTGATTTACCCGATCATAGATCAGGTAGGGCGTAATGTTGGGAATGAAAATGTGGGGAGTTAAATGTAAATGGGGGAGACATGCAGTTATAGAAAAGCAATTTCTGTGGTGTGATGTGCGGCAATTTCTGACCACTAAAACCAATTTGAGCAAAAGATCATCTTATATTGGGAAAAGGCATACAAAGGTATATTATGCTCATTACTCTCGGGAATGAGTGGATGGTCACTTTTAGTGGAGGTTTTTTTGGGAGAGGGCAAGCTGAGCCGGAGGCATCCCCTCCCATCCTACATCTAGACAGAAACGTTGAAGGATATGGATGGAAAACACTTGCAAATTAATGGAGGTAGGGAAACAACAATAAGGGTGTATTTCCCTTTTTAAATGCCAACAATCGAAAGAAAACGACGTATTTTATGGACACCGGTCCTTTTGAGAGCGGTCCTTTTGAGAGAGTCTAGACTCTAGAAAAAAAATCGTACTTTTAACTGCAACACATAGAGGGCGCATTTGCTTCGCAACGTGTGCACCATGTGCACTAGACTTTCCGTGTCCCCCTCCCTGCAAATTTGCAGGGCGGGGGCGCCGGGCCGGGCGGGGTCCGAGCAAACTTTTCGTGTTGATGTTTTGATAAACTGCCACATGCACTATAGACTAGCACACTGCGTGTTCGTCGTCGTGTTTGTGCGCTTGTTGCAAGACTCAATCTTATAGAATGGAGGCGTTTGAATTCATCGTCTTTAATGTCTTTTCCTTAATCTTTTTGACAGCGTGTGAGCCTATCATTGGAAATGTTCCACTCTATGCAACCAAAACAGGCTATGATATCTCAATAGAAACTACAGGCAGAGTGAACAACGTGGAGAAAAATTGGTTGGAGTTGGCGAGATCTACCGGTGCCAGCGTTCCAGAAGGCCTGGAAAATTGCACACCGCACGGCGTGTATGCTGTCTACCGACACGGTACACGCTACCCGAGTGACGGTGACATCGAAGACGTCCACAACATCATTGATCGGCTGCGAAGCACAGACGTCAATCCTGAATTCCAGTTCCTCCGAGATGCTGTCAAAATCCCTTTGTCCAATGCATCGCAGCTTGCCGAAACTGGTTATAGAGAAATGAGGGAACTAGCAGCGAGAATGGCCAATCGTTTTCCCGTGCTTTTCCCGGACAGTGATGTTGACCTTTCCCGCTACTCGTTCCAAAGCACGGGGAAAACACGCACCATCGACAGCGCGCGTGGTTACATCCAAGGCGTGGTCGGGGAACAACAAATCTGCAAAACAAACTACTCTGAGAGATCCTTTACTGTCAATTGTACAGAAAATGATGGAACACAGACTCCAACCTCGACAACTGTGCCGCATAATCCTATTGACGATGACCTCCTGTTGAGGTTTTATGATGTCTTTGAGGATTGCACGGAGGCAATAAATGGAGGCAGGACTGATAGGGAGCAAGATGAGTTCCGAGATGGGCCAGACGTCGGGGAAGTTTGGCAGAGGGTTGCTGAGAGGTTAGCTGGACCGGGACGTGGCACTTGGAATATCTCAAGAGGTATATCAGTATTATCTCAAAAATTGTTTTATCTGGCAAACTGACAAAAATTGTTAGGGAAACAAAAATTTCATGTCTTCATTTTTAGGAGATCAGATAAAAGATAATAATTTGAAGTGTTTTTGAAGGATTAGAGAGGGGAAGGTACTACCAGTCTGTCTCGTAAAATTGAACAACAAAAATATTCTTTTCATAAAAATTATACATCAGCGTGATGTAATTTGTTGATGTTACTAGTGATTGTGCGCGAGACAGACGAACACGTAGTGATGGATGTGTTGATGATGCTCTATGATATGAAGATGAGGGTGATTTCTTTATTAGAGCTCCGTGATTTTACATCCAATCACTAATGTTTGCCAATTATTTTTTCCTCTTTTTACAGAGGAAGTGATTTTGCTCACTGAAATCTGTGGTTACGACCTTACCCTGAATAACGACAATGAAACCTGGTGTAAGCTATTTGAAACTCAAGACCTCTACGCCCCAGAATACCACTCCGACTTAAAGAATTACTGGAACAAAGCCTATGGGTTTAACATCAACTACAGAATCAGCTGTACACTTGCCAACGATGCTCTCAAATATCTACAGGATAGAGTAGATAATCCGACGCAGTAAGTTCACTTCACACTCATTTTCTGGCAGCAATGCCAGGGATTTCTTAACCATTAATTTTTTTCTCAAAGCCCCGCCCCTTATTTGGTCCATTTTTTTAAGGCCAAAGGGCTAGGATTTTACTCATAAAATTGATTGTTCTGAACTACAGAAGTGACTTTAGTTTTGCCCCATGACAGATTATCTGAACAATAGATAGCACATCATAGAACTGATAGCGTGCCTGAATATACTGGGGCTGAGGGAGAGAGGGTGTGATTTTAAGAATGGTCTTTGATAAAAATCAGAAAACTGTATGTTTAATAGCATTCACTTCCAGTCCATAATTTAGGGTAGAGGAACATTCCCTGTTAACAATCTTCATCCAGTCTTTGTTGTTCTTTTATTTCCTTTTGTAGATCTCCTCTAGGTAACTTCAAATTTGCCCATACAGACACCATCGTTCCTCTACTAGCCTTCCTGGATCTATTTGATGACCCCCTTCCACTCCTAGCATCAAACTTCCTGGAGAACATCAACAGGACCTTCCGAGCAGCCCACATGTCGCCGTTTGCTGCCAACGTGGCGTTTGCCTTATACGGCTGCACCACTGACTCTGCTGTGACATACCGTGTGCAGATGCTCCTCAACGAAAGCCCTGTTCAGTTAGAGTTTTGCGAGGGCCAGTTCTGCACCTTGGATGAATTTCAGACGGGAATTGAGGCTAGGATTGGGACTTGTGACTTCACAGAAGAATGCGCTGAAGCACTACAAGATAGGACAACTCCAAACCCAGGGGGCAGTGGGGCTGACATCAACTACTCGGTCTGTTTGCAATTCCTCCTGGCATATGTCATGTTAGTTGCATTGTCTTTCACTGGGGCTAATTAGGTAAACAAAATGTGGATGTTGACAAGATTTTGTGTACATAAAGAAATAGGTCACAACATTGACAAAGCTTCGGGGCAAGAAAACAGTTAAGGCTCGTGCATGCTTCTTTCCTAGTATATTATTATGTTACACACTTATAAATGAATTAAAATTTTATAATCCTTATAATTATGCATGTTATGCTAAAAATGTTTATACAATGTATATTTTTTTCTCAAGAGCACTTAAAGACATATTTCACCTCATTTTTTCCCCACTATTGAGCAACTCCAAGACATTTAAAAAAAAAAGATATATATATGCAGGTTATATTTTATGAAAAGAAAATCATCAGTTTGATGAATTTTTTAAAAATATTTTTTGTGTGTTTAACGTGATGTGGTTTTTAATTAAAAAACCAATATGTATCTGTGGATAATCTTGCAAGGCAAGTGCATATAATATTGCCAGCAACTTTGCCAAGGATAAGAACATGAACATGTACTTGAAAATAACTACATGTAGTTTTGTACTGTGGGATTACTTGTACAATTTCTGCATACATCAACCAAATTCTCGTTAGACTCTTTTATGAAAGGGCTATTAAAATATTTAAGGATAGTATGAATCAAAATGAGCGGAAACAATTTAAATGCTGGGGAAAAAGAGAGGGCCATTAAAATATTTTAGGACAGTATGGATCAAAATGAACGGAAACAATTTAAATGCTGAGAAAAAAAAGAGAAACAGTTTCAAATTTTCAGGGGAAATTAAATGCTACGGTTATTTTTGATAAAAATATACATGTATGTTGTTTTTCTTCAGTTTCTTTTGATTATGTGTATTGTTTATTGCCAAATAATGTTAAGACAATGATGCATGAATTTGCTTATACTTTATTAATGTTGCAATGCAATAAATTCAAAGTGTGCTTGAAAATCTTGGGAAGAGTCAGATCCTTTAAGACTTCAAAAGATGAAACATTAATGACGATATCGTCAAGACCCACAAGGACCAAAACAAAAATAAAATTATGTCTTTGGTTCTTCTGCTTCATTTTATTGAAAAATAGACAAACGGCAAAAGTTGCCTTCTCCTAATTCCGTCCACTTACATTGGTTGTTATAATCTCACCAAATGCACAAAACAAAAAGTCAACAAACATTTGACTTCAAGATGCATCAAAAGCTACAACAAACACTTCACTTCAGTGTGACAAAGAAAACTATTTACATAATTTTTAACGAGACTTGCTCACAAAGGGATGAAAGCCTAAATATCTTACATGTATACAATTAATGCACATGACCCAATGGACAACAAAAATCTTTTTTTTAATATAACTTTTCACAATTTTTTTTTTACAAATGACACTACACACAGTATATTTCTGACAAAGATTCTCAAGTGACTTTGAGCGTGAACCTGAACCCAGTGATTCATAAACACCAACATGGCAACATCTTCACGCTGTGGCTTTCAGAAGGGCCATGGATGCTGGAGCTATGGCTTAATCTGGGCAATGGAGCTTAGTGTTTGAAGTCACAGCCACTGTCATGTGGACTGACAATGTCACTTGATGCAGTGCAACTGCCACACCCAGAATTTCATAAATGACAATGGATTAAATCACCTTGCTAAACCTTCATGTACCTATTGTCTTCTGTCTACAGTTCCTGAAGTACTGTTAGAACAATAAAATGTGGCATATGACTGGATTCATTACTTTGTCATACATTTATCCAGGGGTAGTATCTTTGGGTGATCTAGCTGAACAGTGACAGTACACGGCATTAACGACAAGAATATCCTGCCAAGGGTGTCACTGAAACCAAAGTAATGATTTTTCCAGATGGTTGACCTTTAAATAAGGAGGACATAGACTCCACAAGTCATTTTTGGGACCAAACTAAACACTAACGGGAGAGATAAGCAGACAGTGTACTTCCTGTGCCCAAGGCAGCCCAAGGCAAGTCATGTTGTCCAAGGTTTGTGAATTACAACTCCAGACATCCTGGAAATGATCCAAAATCCACTCCATGAAAACTTGCTCCGTGTCTAGCAAAGAATTTATAGCAAAGAAATTTAAATCTTTTGGGATTGCCTTTATAAAACAGCTACTATGTTGAAATCAAACTTACGTTGATAAATTTTTGAGTAGGAATATAGCAAAATTGCTTTTTGTGGGTTACTGCAAACTAGGAAAATAACCTGGAAAATATGTGTTCCATCTTTTGGCAAACAAAACTGCCGACAGCATAAAAAAAACAAATAGGCTGGCAAAGCCATATACTTGTACAAGTCTTCACCAATACACTTCCAGTACTACAAGAATTAAGTACCAACATTACATTTTACAAAACCACATTCAGTTTGTTCATGTTTTGTTCTTTACAACAAAGTTCTTATTTGTACAGTTCAACTTCTTATGAGATGAAACTTCTTCATAAAAATTTCCTTTTTATATACAAAGTACTTTCCTTTATACTTGGTTAAACATGAACTTGGATTATAAACATCGTCTGTTCTTTGCACTTCATGTGGCAGTGTCTATTCCGTCTTCATCATTCGAATCGCCTCGATAAACTTCTTTAAACACAAACTAGACAAATTCTAACAATAGAGGGCGCTTTCCTATAAAATCTCAGGACTGCCCTCAATAACTCACTCGTAATGGCACATCACACATTTTTAACACACAATTCCACAATAACCATTATAAATCTCCTTTCTGAAAAGCACTTCTTTTTCTGTGACAGAATTTCTGTCACTTTTACGTTGCCTTATTTTAACAATTAAACAGTTTAATCTTATCTCCCAATTACTCGCGAGACCAACAAGTACATTAACTATGGTTTAATACTTTAGTACTTCAAATTTGCAGTACTTCATTCATGAACATGTACCTTACAGTACTAACTTCTCTAGTACTTTAAGTCTTTAGTACGTACATGTATATCATGACGCACATGTAATGCCAGGATATTTTTCATAATTTTGCAGCAAATTTACAAAAACTTCAAGGCACAAGCTTTTGTGCCAAAATGATGATCAGACTGCAAACCTTCATCTTTGGTAGTTTCAAGGAGATACTAATATCGTACTTTTTGCGTAACTATGGGGATATTTTGTACACATATTGCATGATGTGACTTCACTAAATGTTGCATAACTCACAGTCTAAATAAACACTGACGTTCTAGGAATGGGGGGGGGGGGGGTGCGTAGGAGAATTCCTGAGCATAACAAAGGCAATATTAATCACAGTATCACAACACTGTACTGTCCCTGTAACATTAAGGTACTGTTCTGATTTTGTGAAGCCATTACCAAACCCTTCATGATAATTCATATCATGCAGTTGGTGTCATGCAGTTGGTGTCATGCTGTTGGTGTCATGCAGTTGGTGTCAACAGTAGAGATTATTTTGCACTACACGCACAACACAAGGATAGTGTACTGTATCAAACATTCATCCAGTTTTGAATGACAGGAAACAGCTTTCACTTCCCCACTTTGAGCACTGTTCTCTGTACTTCAGCAGTAGAGGGCCCCGTCATGCACAGAGCTGATATGGGCTGTATCTAGCCGCATCTGAATTACATGGCTATGACTGGAAATAACACACACGTCTATGGGAAGTAGCCACAGCCGCTTCCATAGGTGCGTGTGTCATTTCTAGCCGTAGCCAACAAGTACATGTAATTCATCTGTCAATACATGACTGCCAGAACCAGACTGGAGAGCAAGGATGGTGACATCAGCCTAATGTGTAGCATGGATACGAGTCTAGGTACAAGACATCATCTTCCATTGATAAGCCACACGCTGCAAGACGGCTTCAATGATCATAAAATGTGGAGCTGTTTGTGGTATTTGTTGCAGTATGTACAAGGCAAGAGGCGCTTTGCTATATAAGCTCCACGCAGGGATTATACGCGGCACTGTATTCAGGCCAAATGTTGTAGTTTATACACTCGGAGCCTATCATAAATCAGCAAGGATCAGCTGTTCTGGTGGGTCAGAGGCTTGGGTTCGGTGCTTGGCAACCAATGCTTCTAGTAACTTCAGGTGCTTCTTGACATGCTGCCGGATAAACAAGAAAAAAGTATTAGAGAATATCAGTTGCTATGGTTACGATTCAACCAATGAGCAGTGTAGCTTACCCCGACTTCTCTCTCAATGTGCAATGGAGAAAAGGGGACGGCGTGGGGACTAAGCTAAGAATTAAATTGGGATAAGAGTACAGGGGGATGCTAGTGGTAATAGTTTTAATACATTCATGTGAATGGGTTGTTAAGAGCAAATTAAGTTGACATTATCCTGTCTATGTATGTGTGAGGACATGCATTCAAACATAGCCAAGCAACATATAGAAGTATGACTGCATTCAAATTCATGTACACAGATTAGCAAATGGTGCAGAATTTTAAAAAACCCTCAAAAGCATAGGGGATTTTGGTCTTCTTTCCAGTGGACATAGATCATGGTGCCCCAAGGGTAGGTATTTCTATCCTGGGGTATGGTAGCACACAAAAGGGTTGGGTGCAGAGTGATACGATTAGATGCATGCAAAGTGAAACATGCATTTCAATAAATGACACAAAAACAAAAAATGAGATTGTTACATCTGAATGAAAAGCGTACGTCCAACAGAAATGGCAGGTTACATGTTTGTGACTGGTTAAAAATACACAACACACCCCCTTTTATAATTCCTTGTTAGACACGCCCCTATTTAAGAAAGAACAAAACGGGATAGAAAGCATGCAAGAAATACAACAGATGGAGAAAAAATCTCACCACAAGAAGCAAAGAACTGGAAAACTACAAAGACAGTCACTTTACACCACGATCACTACGTGTACTCAATGCGCTTGGCCAATAAGGCTTCTAGAAGCCTTAGCTTAGACTTGACTTGCTGTGGCAAGAAAGATAATGTACATGGATGATAGAGGGGAGGTTAAGGTACAGGCTAGCTAAACCAAGAATATGATTACTGAGTATGAGTATATAAAGAAAACAAAGTAACAAAGCAAGAAATTTCAAGAAGTAAATAAATAAACAGAGTATGGAACCCAATCCTTTACAATGCACAGGAAAGAACAGTTATTGTACCAAAAGATAGACGAAAGCTAGTTTATTTCATGTGAATTTGACAGCAAGGCAAATTTGTTAGGCTTGCGACAGTTATCACATTCAAAATCTTCTGACATTTGCTCGACTTTACAAGTCTTTCCAGGTATAGTTAACACAACATTCAACGGAACTACAGTATGGCAAGGCACCTGACTATTCCCTTGGCCTACCTTGTATTCATTATACTGTGTTTCCATGGGAACCCTGTCTTCCTTCTGCACACTGCGCCCAGACTCCTTCAAGAAGTTATCCTCAAATTCCTTGAGGACTTTCCGCAATCGCTTCTTGTCTTCCTTGGATTGGTTCTGCATAGCTAAGAGTTCACTTCTGTTGAAACAAATCGATCAAGAAGTTTTTTTAGTAGGCATTAGGCTTCTGTCAATCATTACTTAATTACAAGTCAGATTTCAATTTTAAGCAATAACAAACTAGGTATCAACACAATTACGAGTCAATCACAAGCCAATCACAAGCCAATCATAAGTCATGTCACAAGCCAATTTGCAAGTAACAGGGGATGAGAAATGGCTGAGAACCCCCATATGACTGTTGAATGCAAACAAAATCACTTGTGACTGGTTTGAGATTGACTTCTGATAGTCTTGTAATTCGAGCATGAAAGTTCGTTTCCTGTCCCATTATTATATCAATTAAATAAAAGATACCTTTTTCAGACTTTGGTTACAGAGCTCGTATCAGGAGCTTGCGACACCATCACGGTGTCTTTATCAACTGGTGTTGTTGAGGCCCTCTTGTGATTGACTTGTTAAAGGCAAGTGATTGACTTGCGACAGTCTTGTGACTACATTGTGGTAGTCTTGTGATTGTCTTGTGATTGTCATGAAACTGATTTGTGATTGTCTTGTGAGCAACTTGTGATTGACTTGCGACAGACTCGTGATTGACTTGTGACTAGTTTGTACTGACTTGTGTAGATTTGATTTAAACTCTGCATAACAAATACTCACAATGACGCCTCGTGTAGATTGGACGCTGCCTCCGGTATCGGTGTTGGCTCCTCCCTTCCTCCGCTGCTACTCCGCCTACTATCAGCAGGACTAGGGTAACTATCTTCCAGATCTACATTGCTCAGGATTCCCCTCATGTCTTGAGTGACTGTGAAATCTGTCGTCTGCATTTCTTCCTCTTCTGCCTCGCCCATTTCGGAGTAAAAATTGTGAACCTGGCCCTGAAAGGAAACAACAAGTCACAATACAAGTATTTAGATATACAATCGATGGGCAAAGCAATATTTATTTTAAAGAGGACTCCACATATGAAGAAAAAATAGAACACAGATAAGTTCCAGCTACTACGCGGTTTCACAGGATTTGGAAAGAATTGATTTGAAAAGAATTGATACCCCTTCAAGTTGAAGTACAAATAATGATTCAAATTAGGTTTTGCCCTTTACCGACATATAAACACTGTACACTCAGTGTGTTACCTCCCAAGTGCAAGTTGGAAAAATCACTCAGGTGGGACTTGAACCCACGACCTCCTGCCTTCCAGTGCAGATGACTTACCACTCAACCACCGAGCTAACGGGATCGGTTGGCCGGTGTGAATCTGATATACATAGCTGCGGGTACTGCATTAACTATTTATAAGATGAGATTTTTGCGTCAGGGTGATGTAACTAAATAATGAGCCATTTCTTGCTTACCATCTGTTTTGGTTGGAATTCTTTTGTTTCTTCGTTTTCTTTGATCGTTTGTAGGTCCAGCGATGAGGGTTGTCCATCCTCAGGTTGCCGCAATTCCTGAAACAAAACAAATATCTCTTTGTCTTCAAGAAACTTGGCTTCCTGTTATTATTTCTCTTGATTGCCATCATTTCAAGGCTGGGCTTGTGTTACATAGGTTGTTTTTATAGGTTAAGTGACTTCCTGTTCAAATTAAAAGTCTAAAAGTGAGAACTTTTACTCCATTTAAGGAATGAAGTAAATAGGCAAGTATTGTTTATGATTATTTATTACTTAGACTCCTTACCAGCCTGACAAGGAGTTTCTTGACATTCCTGTAGCGGTCGTATAGCGGCTTCATCAACTCTTTAGTTTCTTTGGTACTCTGCGAATCAAATCAAATCAAATCAAATCAAGTTATCATTCTGACCAACCAAAGTTAAATTTGATCGGTCATAGGCAGGGGAATATCTTTCAGCTGCCAACATGTTATACTGATGACTTCATCAAAGAAAGTTTCTATCTGCATTCTCTACTTAGGTCCTACATGAAACTCAGAACTATAAAGTGAAATGACTTACGGGTCTTCCAAACTTATTCTCCATTTGTAGCAAGGCCTTCTGTATTGCTGTTTTCTCTTCTTGCACTTCCTCTTTGTTCATATTCTGAAAAACCCAAGAGAAAAATACACCAATAACTTTCAAAAGTCGAACTTTATTTCATGATTAAGTCAAGTTGAAGAATCCTTGGTTTTGTTATTTGCTATCTTATGGACTCTGTGCGTTAACCCTCCCACGCAGAAAGCCCATTTAGTAACACACTTACAGTAAGGGGTCCCCCGGGGACCCAAATATTTAGCGCCACGGTTTGAGGCTACACAACACTGTATCCACATGAACACAATCTTGCCATGTCTGTAGACTAAGGAGGTGTATTTGTATACATAGTCTGTGGTCAAGCCGTGCACTGTCTACTCGCAAGTGACCTTGTTTGTGCATGTGTATATGGTGGGTCCCCGGGTGGGCAGAAATTGCGTCGGAGTTTTTTGTGCGCGTGTATATGGTGGGTCCCCGGATGGGCAGAAATTGCGTTGGTCCTTAGCCCAGGTTGTCATGCTCAGATATGCCTGACCCGGGGTCACACACTAAAGGTGACTGCATATATCCGTAGAGGGTGTCTCTTGCTAGGATTAGATGGAAGATCACCAGAATTGGTTTGAATTTTTTTTTAATTAAGGTAATTAACCAAATTGGGTCCCCAAAAGGGCTAGATTCTGCGCCGGAGGGTTAACAAGAGAGGGAGCTTTTCTACCATTTTGAGAGCCCTGTGGACGGGGAAAACCGTATAGCACAAAGTATGCACAACTCATTTTATTCTGAAAGCGTCTGAACGTAAGCGTCAGGCGTCATCATGCGTTCAAATGTCTTGACCATACATGTGGAGTCAGTGACCAGACTAGTCTGTGTTTGGTACCAAGACTTCCACACACCAACCAAATGTGAAGTTATAGGATTCCCAAATTCTATGTCTTGACTACGGACTCACATTTATATCCTCAGGTCTGTTAGCCTCATCTCTTTTCTCTTGTAGTCTGGTTTCCGTCTCCTCAAGAGCAATCTCCATGTTGGTCATGACTGTAGCTTCTTCAAACTGTTTTTTCAGGTTCCGGCCCACCATCTTCGCCGGTAGGGTGTTTGACAATGGAACCTTGGCTTTCGCTGCATTCTCTTTAGCTTCTGCAACAAATTACATGAAATTATCCATTCAGGATTTATACAGGATTTGTCTACAGACTGTAACCATGACAACCCTTGCAGGCGGACATCTTGAATAAAAAAAGCTACCATCTGTCACCATTTATGTTTAATTGATCAAAGTGTCGTACATGTATTAGCATTCTATTAATTTTAGTTATTGTTGTAGTAAATAATCTGTTGCATTTGCATTATATTAATTTGTGACAAATGGAAATAAAAACAATACAATACAACACAATACAATACCATAAAATTATTACTCTAGAAATTTTACCCGTTTATGAAACTGAAAATGACTTTTTACCTTTAAGTTGCTTGTTTGCCCGTTTCAAATCTCCCATCATCTTCTTGATTTGCGGTTGGGAAGTCTTGTGAATGTGAGATGGCTGAATACAAAGAAAAACAAAAGCATGAGGGATACAAAACCATCAAGAAAAGACAAGTTTAGAAATAAGGAACCTTTTGAGCTAAAATGGAGTCAAAAATGCAATATTCATCACATAACACATTGGATGGTTACTTTTTTTAAGCTAGCGAAACTTTACCATGGTAAGCAACTCTTTTGTTCTTTACCTTGTACCCATGTTCATCTTCAAACTCCTCTTCATACTGTCGTATCTTCCGCTTCAGGGTTCGGATCTGCTTAGTAAGTTGCTTGACACTAGTCATGTCATTCTCTTCAGGATGTTTATCAGCTCTCTTGGAGACACTGAACAACAAAACAGACAAACTTTCTTCATCAGTGTTAATATCTAACAAAATGACATCAGGGAAAACCACATAGAAGTAAGTTAACTTTACAAGAGTGCTTGCTTGCAATTTTGTTGCGTGGGTACTTGAGATATTTATTACACTCCCGATGAACAGGAATTAATTTACTAATTTTTCAAAACTTAATTTGCAAGATTTACAAGTGTTGATCATAAAATGCAAGCACTCTTGATCATAAAATATAGCCATGACAAAAAGATGGTGAAGAAATGAAATTGCCTGTTGTCATCAGAGAGTAACCCTGCAAAAAAGAAGTCAAATGTTTTGGGCATTATTTCAATGGTTAAATATTATTTGGCGAACTTTTCAAGCATGGTAAGCTGCAATTGTAAAGCAATACAAACTTTACATGATGTTAAGCATGAGAAAAAGCATTCATGGGTATCCCTATCCCATAGTCCTTTGCACCATGGAGCAAGTTGTGTCAAAGGTCAAGTACATGTAACCATACAAAATGCAAGACAATTTTTCAGCAATTTCTGTCGTCTTTGCTTGTTGGCAGAATGACAAGTACAGTGCAGCAAGAAGTAATGTAAGCAATTGTTAATGCAATAGACATTCGCAACAATAGAAAGGTGTCGTTAATAAAGCATGAGCAAATATTCAAAATCTCTAGCTCTGAAACCCAGGACTTAGCATATGTATTAATGTGCTGAGCAAAGTCTGTAAAGCAAAAATCAAAACTGTTTCTGAAATGAGGTAAGCTCAAGCGGACATGGGTTGACTGGTCTGTAACCATGGTTTCATTTCACCCAATTACCATAGTAAAACAGCCTCCAGTAACCATAGCGACACAGCTTCCTATGATATACATGTAAACATACAATTAGATACCACATATAGGACATGCACTGCACAAGACATGTTTATTTTATAGACTCCTTTTCAGGGCAATATCTTGGCTAAATATCACCACAGTGAAGACAAAACAATAACATCATTTATAGGAAGAATGGACAAACAAAAATATGGTTATGAATTATTGTGATTTTACAAAGCATTGGATGTAAAAGCTGAATGGTACTCATCATTCAGCAACAAATGGTTGCAGGGTACCATTATGTCAGCACAGGAGGGGGCGGAATTAACGACCAGCCACCTCTTTCAGGAAACCAGTCAAAAGCTTGATGAAAGCAGCATGATGAAGACATACAAAATGAGTAACTTTGACCCAGATAATGACAAGGCAATGGTGGATAAGCAAGGTGGATTTTTTAAATGTATTTTTTTTTTTGCTTTGCTTTGGACCCCAGCCAGCAGGTGGAATTAAGGCAAAGTATTCTTGACGATGTACCCACCAGGTCAGTATCGGCTGAGCTGAAGGAGGGGACGGTGGTACGTCCGTGTCATGTGACACACTGCGTAAGTAAAAAGAAAAAAAAAGATACAACATGTACAAGAAACAACAAACAGCAGGACAAATGATCAGAAGTCAACATACACAGAGTGGATCAGTGCGGATCAGAACAAATACTGGAAATAGTTCATCTTTTTGGAAAATAATCTAAATCCAATTGCAGTGATTTTGGTGTCACCTTCAGTCTGCATCAGGTTATAGACATTTTTGTTTAATTGTAAGAACAACTGCATTGGAGCTGTGTCACCTTTTTCAGGATATAACTTTGCTTTTTGTGCCTACATTGTTTGCTCCTTTTGTGGTGTTTGCAAATTGCAGATCATACAGAATATCTTGCAATTGCTTTCAGTGACAACCACACAACCATACAACCATCATGACAGTAGTACATAAACATTGTATACACATGCACAAAACATTGACATTAAATGAAGAAGTTACAATGAGGTTTGATATGTGAATGTGCTCTCTTTAGTGTACACACATACTTGTCAAAGGACATAAGGCCAAAAAAAAAAAATATTCAGTCTCTGGTCAGACCAAAGTTCCGGAATTGACGCGGGGACGCGGCTTTTTTTTTTTTTTGGCTTTCTTTTTTTTTCTTCAAGCTTGGATTGTACAGACAAGGTGGGGTGCTATTTTGCTTTTTTGGTGTTCTCATGTACATTGGTGTCCTCCATAATTTGCCTTGGTGCTCTCAATCATTTGCCTTGGTGCAATTTCCCATACCTTGGTGCTCTTTGGTAAAAAAAAAATTTGCTGTTGGAGCTACCGCGGAACATTTTGGAAAAAAAAAGATTGACGCGCATGATTAAAATCCACGCGCGTGCTGACCAGAGACCGACTTACTTTTTTTTTTGGCCTAACATGATCCATGAATTGGTACAATTTATACAAGGTGAATTATTTGTGACTTTTTCATTTACAACATGACAATATCACTGAGTGTGAACATACAACGTGATGGCCGTATGACAACAATGTGAAAATTAATGGCTGTGATAGTCACCCTGAAGTTACGTAAAGAGTTAGAATGTTATCACGACTACATGCATGCCAGCTATTACATGAATGGTGTATGATGATCTGTAAACAACGACCTATTGCTGCATCCACATCTTAAGACATGACACATGTTTTATTTACACACAAAAAATGCACGTATAAAGTCCAATTTTCTTAGGTCTAAATGGAAGAGGGTGTTCTGGCATTTGTGACATTATTTAAAACTCCGAGTCCCTTTGGGTTTTACCAAGGCAGTCACCTGAATCCAAAACAATCCAATAACAAAAAGTGAAGTTAGCACTGTAGAAGTATCTTCAACAGAACTTAATACACGTACAAGGGTCATTTTGCAATGATGTTACACCCTTATTTTGGCTACAAAACAAAATAAAATTAATGGAAACATGATGTTTTATTAGTTTGCAAATGTATGCACAATAATTGTTGAAATTCCTTTCCGGGTGTGAGCTGTACACATTATCCTGTTCAACAGTCTAAAGATATCGGTAACGTTACGTGCGTAAAAAAAGAACAGCGAACATGAGATCTGATAACGTCCATGTAATGGTTCATGTACTGCCTATATATAGACGGGAGACTTTAATCTCCAGGGGCAATTTTACAGCAGTTAAATATGAATACAAGTAGTTATGGAAAATACAAGTAAGTTTTGAAATCCTGTACATTGACCAAAATAATATTAAAGGGAATATACAACATTTGCAAACATCGAAAAATAAAACAACCAAGTTTTTACGAAAAACCTTACTAGGATGTTGGTAAATGACAGTCTCAAGCATCTTGTAAAATTATGGCACCTGGTGTGAAGTCATTTTCAAGAAAATGGTATTTTTGTATAAATTTCCAACGGTGGTCGGCCGACCAGCGTTGGAAAAACCTAACTATTTTTCAACTACTGCTCCAAGTTTACCATTTTTTCAGTCCAAATTTTGTTTGCTATTGGTTACATGTTCATGAACGGCTGCAGGCTAGCTAGATTGGTTCCCTTGCCTTACAATTTTCCATCATCTATAAATTGATTCATTTTATCTTTTGTGGAGTCAGGGAACCAGACTACATGAACAATTTTGTTTTTCTTGGTTTTTTCCAACCTTTTCGAACACAAAACTTAAAAAATGTCAGTGTAACAATATTTGATCAATTATACTAACCCCTCAAATAGTTCATTTCTGAAAATTACAGCAAAAGCCAATGATGTACATTCCCTTTAAAGAAAAATCGGCAATGAAAATGACTCAATTATGATACTACATGTATATGAAAACTAAAGGTGTGAGCAAAATAATGCAAGTTTTGATAACTAAAATACATGTAATGTTTGTAAACAAGGGGGTGATCAACAGAATATCATACATGGGGGGGGGGACATGCAATCTAAATTTAAACAAAAAACATGCAAAATTATTCTCCCTGAATCAGAAAAAGCAAAAACTAAAAATAGAATGAGGTTTAGTATGCAGGTCAAAACAGGACACCCCCCCCCAAAAAAAAATATATAATAATACATGTAAATAAATAAATCTGAAGCTGTAATTTTCGATTACTTTGACAAAAACCTAATTTTCATTTTTCTGGAAGTATGGCATGTCTGTCAGGAATCCTGTAACTGTTTCTGCTTCCTGGCAATAGAGGGCGCTTATCATACCTACAGTAACCCATAACTACAGTAGCTCATTCCATGTGTGACGTGTACTCGGGGCTTGTATCATCATTTAGACAAAAAAAATGTAAAAAACAAGGCCACAGTTAGATGGATGTTGGTAGCATGGGATAAACAGGTTGCCATGGGAACTGCATCAATGATGAATATTAATTTCTATGGATTCAGACCTGTTGAAGCTGAATGGAATATCTCGGGCTCTGGGAGAGGGTGGGGCTTCCTGATGGCCAGCCAGACTACAGGACACAAACGGTGACAAACACCCACAAACAATATCAAAGTCAATGATTGTTAAGTCTTTGGATTCCAAATGATACCTTTGAACAAGAGTTTGCTGGGATGACATTTTCAGGCTGTCTAACTTTTAGAAATTGGAAACTAAAACTTGAAAATACTCTGGGTTACTCTGAGGAGGTGGGGAAAGAATTATGATGGATCTTAACACAACTAAAATGGGAATCATCTTGTCTTTTTGATATGAAAAAAAAGCATCATGTGGGTTATGGAAACAAAATGCGACTTATGAAAAACTGTGCAAAAAACATCTTAAGTACCAGAAACTGAAATACTAGTACAATAAACGATTCAAAACAAACAAAATCAGTCAGTGCACATATCAAGTGGTATGCTGATGGGAGAATAAATCGCCCACACAAACAAAGGTCACGTAGCAATTTTCCATAACTCAGACCCTGTGCATGAGTACAACTTCCGAAAAAAAAGATCTGCAGACAAGAACAAAGCAGTTTCATTTGACAGCACAAACAGGTCTGAGCACTCAAATATCCTTCAATTTTCAGCACTGAGGGTACATGTACTTATGCACAGACTCCACAGGGTCACAGTGATATACATCATGAAAGGTGCAAGTTACATGAGAATCTTAACACTCATTGTGATCACTGTGAGCAACAGATAACTTACTGTGTGATGGTTTGTAGTTTGAGTGAGCGCGGTGATAGCATAGCTTCTTGGTTGCCATCTTGGAAATGTCTTGACTTCCACGCTGGAATGGGCTCTACAAAGTCAAATGAACAAACAATGGGAGAATGACTTTATAATATTGACTTTCCAAGTCAGTGTGAAATGGACAGAGCCCAATTATAGACCAAGTTATGAATGTTATACAATTTTAACACTTTTTTTAATGCAGAGGGAAAGCTTGAATTATTGATGATTAAAAAACTCCTCAGTCTGACTGGACTTACAATTTGCAGATATGCCAGCCATGGATGTCTTTCCATGAACGACAATGATCAATAAAATATAGGACAGCTGCGATCTAAAGAAAGGGAGCATTTGAGTGATGCCTACCTTCACCATCTGTGTGTTCATGCAAGCTGGTCAAGTTTAGCGGTGGGACAGTGTGCTCGCGTCGTTGCGGTGATCTCGGGGGTGACTTCGCTACGTCCTTTCCTCCGTTCATCAAAGCCTCCAACCCCCCAGATACACCCTGGCTTGGCTCCACCCCTAACATGGCAGGCTCACCGTTGAAGTGTTTCTTGCGTGGTTTGGGCTGGGGTGTGTCCTGGGGTGTGTCTATACCCTCCCCTGGGGGTTCGGTACCCGGTATGATGATGGATAGTTGCTCCGTGAATGGTCGACTTCCTTCCTCAGGTCTCAATACAGACTCTGGTTCCGGCGTCCTGCTTTTCCTACACAAGATATTTTAGTAACAAATAATTTTAAAACATTTCCTCTACCGATTTGATGTAAATTTGTATTGCTTACATTTTTTGTCACCATGAACATATTTCAATATTAACATTTACTGAGTTGATTTGTTCGTACCTTTTTGAGGGTGACCGTCTATTTTTGGGAGGCGCTACTCTTCCAGCTGTTAACTGCAACAAATCAAAACCAATAACAAACACAGAATTAAAAATCTCTCAATAATTGATCAGAGAATATAAATTTCTGTAATTTCGGCAATTCATTGAGATACACGTATGTCATGCCAATTATAGACTTGTTATTAGTTATCTAGTACTACAAAAAAAATGAATACAACATACCGATTTAAGAGTTGGAGAGTTGCAAGACAGACTGTCAAAATCAGCATGGATTCCTGTGACTAGAGGGTCACTCACTGGCTGATGAGAGGGCTTGTCCTTGCTGGACAATCTACTATTGCTGCAAAGACAAATATTACAACAGGGTCAATTTTCATTGCTATGTAGAAAAATATAGTTGTGCTAGCTACAGAAGAAAAAGCTGATGAAATGTTATCAGATTTATACATGTATATCAACAAAGACACTGACAAAGACATTGTTAACATGGGATAGCTCAGTTGGTAGAGCATCAGGTATGGTATTCCGGAGGTCGCAGGTTCAAAACCCACTTAACTTGATGTCTTTGTTCAAGACTGATTAATTACTGGTAAACTAGAAGCAATTTCAGATATTTACCGTAATGATATTGGCTTTGGTGATTGTGACTTTGGAGATTTTGACCGCGGTGATCTTGACTTGGGTGAATCTGACTTGGTTGAATACGTTTTGGGAGAATTTGATCGCGATGAAGTGGACCTTGGTGAGTTGGATCTTGGTGAATTTGACCTTGGGGAATTTGACCTTGGCGACTTTGACTTTGGTGACCCTGACCCCGGTGACCCAGATTCCTGTGACCTCTGCTCATGACCTTTGGATTTGAGCAGGTAGGATTTGCCCCGCGATGGTCTGGAAGGTGGTTCTGGGGCTTTTCTCCGCGATGGTGGACTGCGACTGTTTGTTCGGTCCCGCTTCGGGTCTTCAACGATGACAGGAATTGCAGAGGCGGTAGGCTGTTTCTTTTTGGTCACGGGAGATTCACCCTGAGGGAAGAAACAAAATAATTTAATGGAAAAATTACAGACCAGTTAGACAGAAATCAATAAGATATTTGGAATGATTACTGAATAAATATTTTTTACAGGAATATAGTTTGGTCATTCCATAGATTTTGGGGTCCAAAAATGAGACCTGTGTGCAAGTATCACTAAAAATGACTTCACACTATTTGTTATTTGTTTGGCAGGTACTTCTCTTTACATAATCACTCCTGGAAATAGAAAGCATTAAAGAATGTGTCCTCATATAGTGAAACGCCGCAATAAAGAACACCCCTATAACATGGTGTTCGTTATAGTGGTGTTCGTTATAGTGGCGTTCTACTGTACATGTCAATTGGATGTAACAGGGACACAAAAACTTGGACCCCAAATTGATGGAATGACCCACTTACCGGCGCGGGACCAATAACTATTCCCTGAGTTTCAAACATGTCAAACGCTCTGGACGAGGGCTGGTGTTTCCTTTTCACCTTGGGTGAGCTCTCGGGTGATTTGTTGTCTGGTGCTGAGGACGAAAACGACCGGATGCGATCTCGGACTGTTGGGTAAATCTCCTCAACGGAGGATGTACTCTGTCCGTCAGGGGAATCAACGCCATTACTGAAAGGATAAATGCAAAATGAAAGCAGTTGTCCGATTAAGAAATGGTTTTAGAATAAAGGGGCCATGGAACGAATTACTGCAGTGAAATACATTTTGCGCAAAAATCCATGCCTCTGATCTGTCCAAAAAATCTTTTTGCTTTCAAGTTTTTAAAAGCACAGTTTGTTATGTGGTCTGTTGTTGCTGTCGCGTTAATTTACACACAATATAAAAAAGTGACACCAGTTTTATTAACTGGGGTGAAGCAAAGAAAAGACGACACTTACTCGATGTCTTTGCTTTCTGTTTCTGATTCATGTTTTTTCTGCCATCTTCGCCGTGGTGAAGGCACTGGTACTGTAAAATAAAAAAATAGTCAGGTATTTCAAATTTAAAATTTAACGTTACATTTTTGGCTATTTTACTATGCTTCTGTGTTTTCTCAAAGAAACTTCCCATGCATAGTTATAAGATTCATAGTCTTAGAAAATATAAAAAATTTCTCATGGCAATTTTTGAAGAAAAAAACAATTGACTGTGCCAGTCTGGCTCCTGACCTTCTGGAGATGGTGAAGTAAGGCTTTCATCTCTATCCAGTGAGGGGCTCTGACCAAACAGATGCTGCGATACTGTCTCCTGAATGGTCTTCTCAACCAGTCTGTAACCATGACAACAAAGAAAAAGAATATCAAAAATTGTCCAAGTATATTTAATTACATATTTGAAAAACATTCCCAAACAGGAAAGCAGAATCTCAACATAAACTCTTTGGTGGAGTGACTTACTCAGATGTGAGGTCATTGATGACAGGCGAGGGCGCTGTGCTAGTTCCCGTCTCACTGTCCAAGTTGAAGGGTGAGAAAGCCCTCTCTTCAAAGCCACTCACATCCCTGGGACTGCAAGAAAAGATCCCAAGAAATATTAATCTGTAGTTGAATATTTGTAAGGTTCATCAACGATTACACATAGGTTTTATTTTGGAAGTAACTAGACTCTGCAACCGGTTTAATCAGTCCATATGGTCCAAGTAACCAGGCTTTTTTGAAAATGTGCAGCATTATGGACAAAAACATATCCCGAGAATTACATGGCTATGGCTTGCTATTTACACCTGTGCCAATGGAAGCAGCTGAAGCCACTTCCCATAGACTTGTGTGTTACTGCTAGCCATCGCCAAGCAATTTGAATGTAGCCATCCATACCTGAGCAGCCCACCGGCTGGTGACTCACAATCTCTAACATCGTCAGCTTTCTTCAGTTCTTCCCTGTTGGTATCCGTCAAGGAATTACTGTTGACATCACGAAGGTCTTCCAGCCCTTTCTTCTGTGACCAAGACAAGAAGTGTTATTGATAACAAATCATTATTCATGTTTGAATTACCCTTTGTACCAAGCTGTGAACTCCCCGGGGAGCTGAGATGATCTTTGGCATGTTTTGCAAGTGTAATGCAAAAGAGTAATCCAAATAAATGAAACGTTTGAGGTAAAACTATGGCAGGTTATCCTTCAAGTCCCTACAAGTACATTCTGATCAACTTCTTGATGATTTAGATTTCGCATTTCTGTACAGAAAATGAAAACGGACTTACTTTTTTTGCATCTTTCTGTCTGATGTAATCCTGATAAGGCACCGGTTTGACTGGCGGTGACCTCTTTGAGTTTGTCGCCTGAACCTGGATGCACTTTGACCCTGACGTCGGAGCAGGAGGCGGGGATACCTCATCCTTCTCATCCGACTTGAAGATGGTGTCGTATTCATCTATTAATAACCTTACAATGTTGTTGGTGATGCCTTGCTCTCGTAAGCCATCCAAACCTAAACTACACCTAGAATTGAAAAAAAAAAATTATAAAAAATTCCAATCATGTTAGCAAGAAATCAAACAAGACAATCAAGTTTTCTAATGCAATACTGTAACTGATATGAGCCTTTCACCTATGACTTGTGTACTAAGGTTATCAAGCATTAAATTGTGTTGTTGGGTTTGTGAATTGATCTGAGAATGGCAAATTCAAAAATAAAATGTTCATCTACCTGACAACAGAAATCCTTGTAACAACTTCTAGCATGACATGGAGTTTTACCTAACAAATTATCTGTATACATATTTGTATTTACCTGAAGAGATTTGGGCCAAAGACAATAGCCAATGCATTAGAGTTCATCTTGTTAGTGGCTTCATACTGTGACACCATGACTAGGAATCTGATCAGATAGCGTAAGACGATGTAATGTTCCTCTGGTAGATCTTGTAGGAGAGTCTTGAGCTGCTGGATACAGTCATCTGGATTGGATTGGCTGGCTGCAAACAGACAAACAATTGAATTAAATAAACCACACATTGGTCGTTTTAAGAAATCTACATTGTACATTGTATCATTTCCGTTGTCTGAAACACCACCATCATCAGTCATGTCAGTACTCCCCCCAATTTCCACACAAAATTGGTTGAAAATGGCACTTAATTTAATCCAGCATGTTAAAAAAATGGGTTACAAGATCTATATATACAACTAGAAAATGCTCACAAGACAGAACTGAATTCCCTGCAGAGAAGAGTCAGTGATGCAAATTAAAATAAAATACTCCATTTGAACTGAGCCCCCAGCCCTGGACAACAAACTGTATTATTACAGTAACGGTTCCCTATTAAATGTTTTATTGAAGGGATGGTCTACATAATCTTACCCAATTGAGTATTAATGAACTTGTGATGAAGCGTCTCAGTCATGACAGGATCCGGTAATTCCCTCAGGAATAGTTTGAGAAGACTAGCCACGGCCATCACGTCTCCTGCCTCCTCAAGATCTACATCACCCATCTTATCAATCACCGCTTTCATCTTCTCCACCACTCTGGTGCTACCGTTGATGCGAAAGATTCCCTCGTGCCCAATACCTGCGGTGCACATGAATAATAGACGTTAGAATTCCGTGACAAAGCGTGAGAGGTGGTAAGGTTAACGCGTGGATCAGTGGGGGCAATTACATCAAAACCTATAAAACCCAATTTCCAAGGATTATCTGAGTTAATATAAATTGGTTTGTTAATATTGAGCAATCACTTTCACCACCTGCGCACAACTCAGTCTAGCACCCAACCTTGATACAATTAAGTACATGCTCTACCAGTAGTCTGGCTCCAGTCTGAGTAAGAATGTGTACTAAATGTCAATGTGATTTACAGCAAATGTAGTAAATGAGATGTGTTGAATAGAATCATTCATTTGTAAAAAAACCCCAAAAACAACTTATTGTTGTTCTTTAAAAACAAGTAACAACTGTATATTTTGTTGATATTATCTTCAGGTAGTGGACTTATTCCTTCCAACAACAACAAAAATTCTTGCCACAAAGCTTGACCTTTGACCTACCATGCATTTGAATGAAGTCACATATCTTCCTGATGAAGACTGGTACCCTGACTCCCTTTGGACCTCTTGATAGCTCTTTCAACGGGACACCAAACGTCTTACTGTTGAGTTTCTTCTTCATGGTCACCGGTGACCGAAGAATCTTCTGCATGGTGCCGTCTTCAGTGGACTCTAACCCCTACGAAGAACAAACAGTATTTTTTTTAAAAACTTTCCATAATTTATAAAATCCTGTTCATTGGGAATTCTCGTCAACTACATCCTGAATCCTTGAAATTCAATACTGTGTGGTAAACCAGATATTGGTATGTGTACTATACATGTTGAATGACATATTGGTCGATAACCTGGTTAGCTATTGAGCCAATATGTTGGATGCTTACCACATTTCTACTAATTTCATCATTCACAAAATATTAAATGTACATGGACAGGTGCACAAATCTTGGACACAAGGCTTCTTTAATACATGTACGTGCTCCTGCACTCAAGTTCAAGTTTGCTGCAACTATTTGGCACAGAGCCCAGAGGCAGCAAGTCTGAGCTAAAAATAGCCTAGCTGCATACTGTGCATGTGATCCCTAGTGGGTGATCACACCATGCACTAGCAAGGTACAATGTAGGGGCTTCTTTCTATACATGTGCTTGACTTCCCATAATCACATCACCATAAAAGGGAAGCATTTTCTTTTAAAGTCCTGGCAAAACAGCATTGTACATGTACATGTAATTTTCTTTTGAAATGCTTTGCCTTGCATTTATGTACATTGGATGCAAGTAAGCATGTACACAAGTACATGTGCACTCAAAATAAATTCAGTGGGGAATGAAATGGATTGTTTTGAAGGTAATTTAACCGCTTTGGAATTTTAGCTTTTCAGAATCTTCAAATAAAAGTGTAGCGTTGAAGTGAGCTGATGAAACATTCTCTGAACAAAATGGCTTCATGAAGTCTTGTCTCAAGATTTTTAAGTTTTCCAATTTTTTTGCGACACCATTTTTTACTCTACAGCATCCACGACACATGTATTTCTTATAATACTTTTCACAGAATGCATTTATTCACAAATTATTTCTCAAAGACCTACGACTACAAACCCCCCATTATCCAATCATTGTTCTGACATTTATCTGATTTGCTCTATTCCGGTAACCATGGTAACAACATGTACAGGTTAAAAACTTGTGCAATGGATTGTGTTCAGCAAACCGAACCAATAAAAAATCAATTTAAATCTTTGAGATGACGGACTGAGCACAGCCATGATAGAACAACGCCGGGAAAACGTTTGATAAAAATCTCAGGAATTCACAAAATATGGCAGGCCTCAGGCACAAAAACAACACACGTACAGGAAAGAGTCGTGCGTTTTAATTTTCTTGTTAAAAATTAAAGAGGTTTCAGTATTTTATTTCTTTATGGTATTAATTTTCTTATGGAAAAATTGAAAACTATATTTTTAAGGTCGATCAAAATGTTGAACCTCAACTAAATTGTGTAAAACAAATGATATATTTTATCTATTTATTTTTTTTCCTTTTTTTTTTTTTTACTTCCTATAGATTTATTTTATTTATTTGATTAAATTTTTTTAAACTTCCTATGACTTTCTTTTCAAAAATCACAGAAGTTTCAGTATTTTTTTTCTTTAGAGTATTAATTATCTTGTGGAAAAAAGTGAAAACTATATTATGTGTGATAAAAATGTTGAATCTCAACTTAATAAAAAATAATACATTCTATTTATTTATTATTTTTGTAGATTATAATTTTTTCTTTTTACTTCCTATAGATTCCTCACAAAATCTCACAAACTGTACAAATGTATCTGTTGTGGCACGGTGCATGGGTTTTTGCCGCAGGAGTCATCCCTCCTCATTCCAAGGTACAAAAAGGACCCACACCACTGCAGACATCTGTATTGTAAGGCCTGATAATAATTTTAATATGCAAAATTTTAGTAGAGCACTGTAAATGTACTGGGGGATGTATATGTATACGGTATATGTACATCGGAATTATTTTTTACAGGAACAGAGTACTCAAATTCTCTAAGTCTTTATGTCTTTGGTAACCCAATTCTGGCACAAGGCAAGAAAGAGCACCTTATCTCATGTCCTACATGTATGTACCATGTGCCATATGGTGTTAAATTACAGGCTAATAAATATTTTATACACACACACTGTGAAATCCGCTACTATCTGACATGTCCTTCTTCAATTCTTTTAAATTCTAAGATCAAACCTACTGAAAAATAAAAAGGATTTAAAAAAAAAAAAGAACTTTTGAAATGTTTACCTCACAATTTTCTTTCAAAAACATTGTAGGGGCCTACATACGTACAATGTACGTCCAAGATGTGACCTACGAGTACATTGTAAATGAAACAGGAAGTTGGACACTATGTTATTCAACATGCTACAACATGTTACAAGGGCGTGCAAAAGAAATGCACAAATGGCAGAAATTCCAATCTGTACATACATGTACATACATACGTACACAAAACAACATGCACAAAAGGGTGATTCGCATGGCTTACCCAACAGTGACAATGAGGGAAAATACATGTACCATACCACTCTTCCACGACACACCAAGGAGTTCAAAGTAACTGTTAATACAGGTGACGAGTTTTTTTCCACAAAACATGTGAATACTTGGAATTTCATATCTATTTAACAAAACACACCATGCTCTGAGCATTGTCAGTCTTTTAATCGCTTTTAATGTTTACCCAAACAAAAGAAATAATTACTATTTCAATTTTCGTGCCACAACATGCACATCAACAAGAAATGTACTTTGAACTTTGTACATTGTATTTTGTCACTCATTTCAAAGACATGTACATGTACATGTAGTTGTCTCATGTACACGCGTACATGTACCTGTGTGAACACTCAGTTTGTCGACTGAAGTCCAGCAGAGCGTAATGTTTACAAACGGTGTGTGTTCACTGTGCTTGTTCTGAAATCTTTTAATCACGCTATTGACCTCAAAATACATGTATGACCTTTGTGAAAAGAAATCACTAATCAACTAGTGTTTCCTTGTTACTGACCAAAGACAATATTCTGTTAATGACATTTACTGATGCTGTTGGTGATTTACTTTTAAAAAAATATATATATTTCAAATTTGCTTAACATCTCCGCTTTCCAAAATCGAAACTGAATAGTTAAGTTCAACAGATAAAAAAAAAAATCTGGATTTAAATCCCACAACTAATCCATTATTCAGATCAACAATTTTGAACGGAAAATTCCTAGATGATAATAGTTAGAATCAGCACATATAGTTGTGCAATAATTACTGTGAAAAGATCACATGCAAACGTCACATGAATACAAATGCAAACCCAGGAAGTACATTCAGTGAAAGTGATAGTTCCTTGTAAGAACATCAACAACAGAGTACTTACGTTTTCCCTGTTGACTGAAAATCACTGTTCAGTTTCAGTTGGCAATAAGGAAAAAGGAACAATGTATTTCGCAATTTAAAAAAAAAGACGGAAATTGTTGCAACAATATAAATCGTGGCAATAAGCATCCTCAATAAACCAAAACCCAATAGCATCTTCATGGGATTTGGAATTCAACAAATTAATTAAGAGTCTTAAATTCATCTAATACTGCAAAACCAAGGGTTGAATTTGTGGGGATCTAGGATGAAAGAAAACAAAATATTTACACCACAAGTATCATACATTCTCAGCAGGTTTTTAACCACTGAGCGGGGACATAACATTAAATGTATACATCTAACCCACTAAATTGGACATGGACATTTAAACCGACATGATTTATTCACTACATCCTAGGCCAAAAAAAAAACAAGTCGGTCTCTGGTCAGCGCGCGCGTCGATTTTAATCATGCGCGTCAATCTTTTTTTTTTCCAAAATGTTCCGCGGTAGCTCCAACCCTCTATTGCCGCACCTCCTCATTTTTTTTTTACCAAAAAGCACCAAGGAATGGGAAATTGCACCAAGGCAAATGATCGAAAGCACCAAGGCAAATTATGGAGGACACCAATGTTCATGAGGACACCAAAAAAGCAGAATAGTACCCCACCTTGTCTGTACAATCCAAGCTTGAAGAAAAAGAAAGAAAAAAAAAAAAAAAAAGCCGCGTCCCCGCGTCAATTCCGGAACTTTGGTCTGACCAGAGACCGAATATTTTTTTGTTGTTGCCCTACACAGGTTAATATGGAAAAACAGCTAGTGTACTATTCTTGTACATGTGTGTGCCTGTGCTATCCATGACAAAGTCAATACAAAGTGTGTTTGGCAGGTGTTAATGGCACACCATGATCGATTGATGTGCTCATAATACCCTCCTGCTGAAAAGGAAAACACATCAATTATAATGGCGTTGGAGTTATCAAATTTAATTAGTAGGCGAATTTAAAATTCAAATGAATACAATACAAACATGCACAGATGTGCAGGTTTAAGCTTTATATATATATATATTTTTTTGACCAGATATAATTTGCTTATTAACAATTACCTGTGATTGGGCCTGCATGTCAACATTAATGCTTGACTCATTGAGGGAATGTACATGTACAGTAGTTCAATGTAAATAAAGAATAGCATCATGAATACATGTAATTTTAATGTGCTTATTTCCCTGCATAATGTCTAATGTTCCATGTGCACCTGTGAGATCAGCTGTGTAAACATACATTCTGCTTTCCGAGCACATTTCTAACATTGCCGTCACTAAATGCAAATTGCTTATCCCACGCACATCCATTCAATGGTGGCACGGCTTAACACTGCCATATAAAATATGTAAGCAAATGCTTTGGCGATCTAAATATAGCTGCATGACTCAATCCAATACAGCAATTTAAGAAAATCAGATAAAAACTGACAAGCATGTCTTGTGCTATGGAAGAACATTTTTGACATTCTTAATGCAGGGTGGCACTGGAAGGCTAACAAAAAATAACCCCACTGGCAAACAAAGAGCAGAGATAGAGCAGTGGTACATGTACATGTACTGTTCTAAAAAGAGTGGGATTTGGATGATGATTCTGGCTATTCTTATTCCCGGGTGCTAAATTCAACCATTGATTGCAACTCTTAAAGATTTCAAAGTTTTGCCTAAACCAACATATTTACATTTATTTTTTATGACCTATAGATCTAATGGCCTTTATTAACCATAAAATCTTATAAAATTTGAATTCTTGAAAACAATATGACATAAAAAGACCTTTATTGTAACATACCTGTCTAGGAGTGTTAGAGTCCACTGTATTGGTTGCTCCACATAAAACGGGCCGCATTACTGACTCTAGGTTCAACGTACACAATCAATGCTTGCTAACAAAGAACAGCTTTCACCTGCTGAAATGAAATGCAACAAACATGTCACGTTGAGGATCAAGACTATACTTCAAGTTCAAGGAAGAATCCAGTAGCTAGTTACATTGTACAACATGTACATCTTGAGAACACTTGAACGCAGACTGCCAAACTGTGTCGGTGAACACATATTATGATGCTGTCAAACACACTGACAATCAGACCAGGAAGTGGTTCTGAGATTCAGGGGACTTTCTGTTTACACACACAGATCAGCAGCAATGACTTACAGCTGGCACAGATAACACACGTCCATGGTGTATACTCCAGTAACCCCGGGTCATCAAACCAGCACTCTCAAATCTAGTGCCTACGTGAATATTGTCAGCACTTGAACACGTGTTAGACTAGACTGGTCCAGATTCCTTCTGGGAATTGCTTACATTTATCAACAGGCAGGGTTGTTAGCATCTAGTCCGGTTCCCAGACCTATTTATCATCACCATGTATCATTGTATGATGATCAAATATTTTGACAGCTACAGTACACAGGTAATTTTTCTGGGAAGCTCTGCAGTTTGTGTATATTTCATGAGATCATGCTGCATTGTGTGGTTAGGGTGGCGACAATGGACTTGATGAGTGGGCTTGAGTGCTTGCATGGTGATGAGGTTGCAAGGCCTCGGGGAATGAGGTTAATGCACTCCGATCAGGCAATAACAAAAATGCTAAGACTGGCCATTGTGAGTATCTTGGGCCAAGGAAGTAACGTTTAATTCGTTTGCAGATGTACATTTGTAATTCTTTTGTCGGTTTGTTAGCGTCTTTTAAAATCTAGCATACATGTACAGATGTACGTATTCACATGTACTGAAGAGACTGTAATACGTGTGGTTTGTACGAGCATTTAGATGACTCACTCTGAAAATTGATGGCTGGAATAATTACTTGAAACAGGCATTATGAAATCAGATTACCAAAGGCTCTGAAATTGACAGAAAAATAACGGACATGTACCACTGCATTTGTAATGTACCATAACGTACAATTAGGTTTGTATTCATGTGTGAAAGATTTGCTCCGTAGTACCACATATGTTCGCATCACCTGTCTGCATTGAACAAACATCTGTGTCGTGCATGCGTACATGAGTGCATGACTTGCACGTACATAAGAACACAACTCGGGTCTCTTTATTAACTGGTGTCATGAATTTGATGAGTCATATACAATGCTGGCCATCTGTGTCTTGACATAATTTAATTCCAATTGTCAATAACCATGTGAAAGCAATCTCAATGCAACGAGTCAATTAGTGACGTTTCTTCATGTTCATTTTTGTTCACAATTCATTGGTTGAGATCAAATATTTATTGTAAATTAAAACCCTAACAATGCTGCTTTAAATAATAAATAAAATATATTCCGCTAGTTGTGGGGCAGAAATTTTTTTTTTTTTTTTTTACAAAGATCATTTGCTGAGGAACTGTACCATTCATTCTACATGTAATTAAACAAATATGATAGGTATAAAAAGACAAATTCTGGTTTAAGATTTTGAGTATTTTAATTTTAACAGCTGTTTATACACTAGATTCACTTTCATGTTTTCCGTTTCCTGATCACTTTCATGACATGGTTCTAGAGTTACAATGTAAAACCTCAGAAATTTTAACAAAAACCCACTGCATGTAAACTGTAGTGGAACTTGTTCAGAATCTTTGCACGTACACCTCTGCAGACATGCCACATGTTGTCCTTGAACCTGACAACCTCCACACAAGAGTCCCATTCATGTTAAGTGGCCAACACTCAATCATGCAAAATGCTCAAACACATAAATTGTCAAGAACCTGTTTCTTGTGTGTCTGTTTTCAAATGGTAAAATTGTTTTTTTGCTTGATTGGTTTTTTTTTTACCATATTTACTGATAAAAAATGAAATATCAGAAAGGATTTACCTGCTCTGAGCCTAATCCACTTTGTGGTTAACCCAAGCGAGGTCCTCCTTTTGAACTTGACACTGTAAACAACAGCAAGAATTCAAGGCAATGTTCACCTGGAATGGAAATGACAAATCTGTATGAGAGTCTAGCTGTCGGAAGCCCCGTTTTCCCATTTCCTGCTGGATATGTGAACTGCAGTAGTTTCAACACGCTTAAAGGATCCATGTAGTGATTTCTGTTCAAATACTGTATACAATTGTTTTATGGGGGCAAGGTGAAGACAAAATAGACGGAGTTAACCAATTAGGAAGATTTGTTTACCTGTTTAAGTAGTGAGTTTTTCTCACAGCTTGATATCCTCCTTATTACAGGAATTTGCAGCAGCAAGCTTCACATTCAGTAATTCCCAGAGCTCAGTGACTCACATACACAGACAATCCATGAACCATTCATAGACATGTATCAAGCACACAGGGCATCTCACGGATTGGCACATTTGTTGACGACACACGTTGAATCTTAATGACAGTCTTTCCACTGCGGCAATATGCTGCCAAGTTCCAAGGCTCTGCTGACCATTAACACTGCTCAGCTGCTCCGCAGGGGAACGGTCAACGTTGGCCAAACAAAGGCTGACCTTCAGTTTAGTTATTCACTTGATGGATTACGGGCATCGAAGGTTCAATGTCGATTACTGAGGCACTTTGCTGATGATAATATATTATTACAAGGCACAGGGATTGTTTAAAAACAACTATCCCCACGTGTAAAATATATGGCCTTGTCAAAAATGTTCATCTACAGAAATAATCAGCGATGTCCAAGTGATGTCCAAGGGACATCCAGGGAAATTGACTTTAGGTTCCAATTTCTAAATCTAAGGCTGTTTCAAGGTTCGACACACAAGCAAACGGAGACCCATAATGACTGTATTAGGCAGACTTTGTCCTTGCTTGTTTACCATGCACAATGCTGCAGACAATGTCCCAACGCTGTGTTTACTTGTTCAGTCTCAAATCACACCGTACCTGGGAATGAAAATAAACACAGAAATGTTTTTGTAAGTGCTGTTTTCAAGCGATTAAAATCAGCGACAATGGCAAAGTACTCCATTATATTTCTTTTGAACTTTTTTTCCCATCAACAAATTATTTGTGAGGGTACGTAAGTCCAAAGCAAACCAAAATATCTAATCTTCCTTCTTTGACGACAATTACAGCGAGGGCCAACGATTTTATCCTTTGGCAGGAAATTCAAAAATAAAAGAACCACTAATATCTAAATTTTAAAATGCAACTTTCTTAATGTGAAACTGTGGTCTAAGATTGTACATACAACACAAAATTCACAGTTACACAAAGTCGCAAGCATACATGAAAATAAAATATGAAAATGCAATTAATGTACATAATTATGTTTACCACCACAATGTACATAAAAGATTTGTAGATATTGAACATATCCAAATTGTCAAACGGAACAAAAAAAATGACAGAAAAATCAAAAGAAAACCGAGGAAACCTACCTTGGCTTTACATTACAGTTGTCTGTGCATTATGGATGAATTGCTTAGGAGTAAACATCCCATCCATATCAACTATCCAGGGATGACATTGACCTTTGACATTCAAGCTCAAATGGTGGCTGCATGGGACAAACTCCTTCCCACTTTCCCAGGTCACTTGGAAATCACACTAGTTAGTGAACACACGAAGGATATCAGTTGGCACGGCGCTATAAATATCACACAAAAGAAAATGAAGCTGCAAGATTAAAATCAAATTAATAATGCTATTTATACATGTACGTGTATGTACAGTTAATGTACACTACACTAGAGGTGCATGCGGTATAATACAAACAAATCCCTATCCTCTTTAGATTATGGAAAATGAAAAACAAAAGTGGCATTTTGCTATAGGCTAACCCCATAAATGTGGCCAATTTACTGGACTACCTCCGCAATCATAGGCCACACTTGCACCCCATGCAGAGCACTCAGATTTTGTGTAGGATTACCAAAGTCACGCAACAGCTGCTGTGCAGGTGTGGCGTGAATTTAGGCTATGGAAACACGGACTAGTTGGTAGTATTGCGCATGCCTAACTGGTCACTTGAGAAAGTTTAACCATATTCTACCTCCATGGTTTAACCATAGAGCTAGGACCCATGGTTTAACCAAAAAAGGCGCAAAGAAGTCCAATTCTGATTTTTATATTTGGCCTGCAATGCGTGACTGACAGGTAACGATCCAGAATGCATTGCGTGTGACCATTGCCATGTTGGGATTTTTTACACTCAAATGTGTACAAACAAGCCTCCAAAGCTGCGTTGGAAATGACACAAAAAGTAGACGTCTGAGAAAGCAGATTTTGTTTTCATTGCTAGTAACAAGGTGAGTACGCTTCCAAATCATAAATGAACTCCATATGTAGAAGCAAAACTCTATATGTGAAAAAAAAATAATAATAAGTTCAGCGTGCTCTGAATGGTGTGCCAGTGTGGCCTATACATGTACATGTATTTATGGTGGCAGTCCAGTAAATTGGCCTCATTATATGGGGCTAATTATAGGCCTACTCGACATACATGTAGCCTATAGAAAGCTTAGGGCAATAGAGCTACATGTAAAAGTTATCAAGTGGCTTCTATTTTTTTGGTACTATCATACTCGCCATGCTCCCTGTGGTTCTTCAAAATCCATTAAAAATATACAAAACAGAATCTTGTCGCATCATAAAATAAACAAAACTGGTTCATACATGACAAATTTAGAGAAAAATAAGGCCTAATAAAAAAATCATCCAAGCCTTTTTGAAGAAATGCAGGCGGGCATTATTTTCCCTTCTTTTTTTCCCAAAAGATGGCAGATTGTCCAAGTGAGGATTGATTCTTCCAGTTTCTAGACTCTTTGGCTGATATAAAGGAGCCATCCCCATTTCTAAATAGCTACAATTTTTTTAGAAACAAATAAAAAAGACAATATTTACAAAATATATTGCAAAAAATGTACATGTATGAATAAAAAAAAAAAAAGGAGACGGGCAGCAGGAAAAAAGGAAGCGAGAAGGAATAAGACACTGGTTTATTTTTGGCAGTGTATATTTTAGCCGGCACAGCTTTCTGCCGGATAGGCCCAATGACTGTTTTTGGAGACTAAGACATTTTTACCATGACAAATCTTAGTCTGGTTCTGCGCCAACATTGTTGTTGTGACTAATTCACAAGATGGGAATCAGACCTTTTTACAATTTCAGACTTTGTTTTCCTTAAAAGCCTCCAGACGAGAGCCCTGAATCAAAACAAAAAAATGTAATACTCTGTAATTAAATGTTGGAGTCAATTTAAAATAATTAAAGAAGAATATTCTACATTTTTGGGGATGAAAGAAACCAAATGTTCAAAAATGCCAAAAGCCAGGCTTGAACCAGGGTAGACCCGTAAACTAGTGATCTGTCACTCATGAGATTGACACGCTAAAATGACGCTATACATTGCTATAGGCCTACACTCTGCCACAGGCGCTGCACAAATTATGTGCAACATAAACTTATGACATGTATGACCTACTCGTATACGCGTTGATCAAAGATAAAGGGCGCAGTACTATCTAGCTATTTTTTTTTACTTTGCCTAAATTAATAATATTGTGAAAAAGGCACCTCCCCTTTTAAAAAGGGGGTGTTTCATGTTTCCAACAAATTCGTACAAACGTTGACGTTGTTAAGCAGCTAAAAAATAGGTGTCTGAAGACATTTTTTTTTTGCAGGAGTGATCAAAGAAAACTTATTACCTTGGTAGAAAATACAGCTTGGGTTAGCATGGACCTGATAAGAATTTCAAAATCAATTTTCAATGTCCATGTCCATGATGATGTCCGGATTTTGGGCATTGTAAATGTGCACATATTTGCGTTGCCACAGCGTTGTTTACCACCACTGCCCAAAGCTCAACTGTCTCACAATTGCAGGGACAGGTATCCTGTGAAACATCCCTCAATTGCAAACCAAAATGACACTATCGGTTTAATACAAGAGCAAAAAAAACCCAAGAAAATCAAACTTACATGAGTAATTTGGGAAGAAATACGACCCACATCCGTGTCTCAGCGACTATCAACATCGCGCAAAATCTGTAAATATGTAGGTTGTCCAATCAACGTGCATAAAATCTATCACGTGATGCTGCGAAAGATGCATTATGAAGTTGAGTTAATAAAAGGCAATGACAAAATGTCAAGTACAATTTCGGAAATAAAAATGTGGAGTTTCATTCGGCCGAGAGGTAAGTATTTTTTTAGTTATTTTGTTTCTTAGCATTTGTTAATAGTTTGGCCTTTTTAAGGAGATTCCCTCCCTTAAAAAACTTCCCTTTCTACCCCTTTTTAACAATAATATAATTATTATTTTTACTCCCGCCTTTTTTCGTACCTTTTATTAGTTTGCAGTTTGTGGGCGCTGAAGTCTCGCTTTATATTCATGTATTCTTGCTTACAAATACAATAGTCATATTTTGTACAAAATAGTTTGACCGAAGAGAGATGTATGACTCGAGGTTACTATGCTAACATTTCTTTGCAAAAAATAGCAATAAATTTGTGTAAAAAAAAAAACCTTTTTAAAAGCCCTAATAATGTGAAGTGCGCCCTCACTTGCGCTCGGTAATTTCATTGTTGAGGGCGCACTTCAACTCACACGGTCCGCGGTCCACGTGCGCCCACGATGAATCTCGCAAGCGTAAAATTGGTTCATCATGTGTGGAGAACTTAAGTTGTTTTCAGCAGATGAACAGCAACATTACCAAATATATATACATTAATTTGGGCATGCACATGACGGTTTATGATAGAGAGTGAAATTATTATTATTATTAACTATTTCCGGAAATGAAACCAAGGATTTCTCAAAAGCGCCCTATATAGGCACAGTAGCTCGCAAGCCTGAAGAAGAGGAGACAATGAACAGCAGAACTTACAATTAAAAATCGCATTTGACAGTTTAATTAGGCGAAGATGCGTTGATTTTCTCGTTGAAACACAGAACTTGTTTGCAGGACTGTTTCTTTGGTTTTCCTACAGGAGGTAAAATTATAGGGATAAATATTTTTTTTCTTTCTATTCTCATGGAAGTGCGTCCTCCTTCGAGCGCTCAGGTTACGTTTCGCTCGTCCCCCGCCCTGCAAACAAGACGCTGGGATACGCTGATGAGCTTCACAGAATCTTGTGAAGGAAGTGGCCTATGACCTATGTATAAAGCATCTGGCTGCAGCTGTTCAAGACCGAAGTTAGACAATGTGCGCAAATGCTATCCGAAAACTTCCCATAGAAATGCGCACATTCCATACCGCATGTGATTTATGTTTCATTGCGGATCAAGTGGATACAATTTTGAGCGTCGCATAATGCAATCCGACCGTTCGTGATTCGAAACGGAGCCTGAGCAAGTGACAGGAATCGTACATTTACAACACAGATAAGTTTTACAGAATTTCCTGCATTATTACGCTTTTCAACGAAATAAAAACGTCTCTAAACTGGAATAAAAGAGAAATGAATCAGTCTTAACGGCCGTTTCAAACCTTGGAGATGACCGTGATGACGCGCAGGTCACAGGTCACGCAAAATCCAACCAATCAGGGCGTGAATTCATCAGAGTATCCCAGCGTCCTGTTTGCAGGGCGGGGGTACGAGCGAAAGGTTACGTCAGACAGAGGTACCTCGTTGGTGGCGCCCTGTTAATTCAAGGACCGGGTGTGGCAACCATCTATGGTGGCAGCGCAACGCATTGAAGTCTTTTGACTTTGTTAATTTTGTCATCAAGTGTTTATGCCGACAACACGATCAGTATTAACCACTCTGCATAATGCAAAAGTGTTCAGATTTTATTTTTGCTAGGAATCCAACTATAAACGGTCACTTATTATTTTCAGACCTAAACTTGTTCATATATATATTTTCAAAGTAAAAGTTAGATTTTCAAGGTGACTTTCTGATCACTTTTCAGAAAAGTGATCAAATTCTTGCTCATTGTTGCTCCGATTACATAGGATTAATAATAATACAAATCTCTGAGAATACAGTCAACCTTGCTTGGCACTTCATCTGTCGCCATGTCAACACTGTTTATCGACGTTAATATCTCTGTTCTATCTAACAACAGTTTTAGGTGAATAACCGTAAAAACGCAGACGTGCTTTTTGACATGTAGGCTAGTCTTCAGGCAAAGAATTTCCGCTCGATAAGTAGACTAATTTTAGGTTACCCAGCTCGGGGCTCCAGTTACCAATTTCAAAAACGAGTAACAAAGACCGTATACCGGAGCACAATAAAATATTACCTAAAGCCGCTGTTGCGCATTGCAGGCAGGGGACAGCTTAGTAATAGAACGCGAGGAATAATTATACACCGCTTGAGGGCGCTACAGTGGAGACAAAGGGATTATGAATTGACTTCTTGTAATTGGCTTAGATTAGTGTTTGGTAGGGTTTTATAGACTGAGGCAAAAACGATTAATCAGTTGTATACCTGGGAAAAAACAGTCATTTGGGGAGGCCAGTGCACTTGCGCTTTTTGTCATTGGGAGAAAAAAAACCTGCTTGTAGGTTTTACACATAATCATATAAGGTTTTGCAGCAAGTCTATTTGCTGGGCACTCACGTGTTCACCAAAAATACAAAAAGCGGAGTCGTCTTCCGTTAGGCTAATGACTCACTTGTCCAGGGCTACAAAGATGCACAACTCCAAGAAACCGTAATACCAATCTGATCTCCATCCCCACTAGGCTACCGTATATGTCATAACCAATGCATACCTGTATTGATTTAGATAGCAAGGAGTTTCCTTGAAACTTATTTGAATTGACATGTTTTGATTCAGTAGGAAATGCCAATGGCGGCACAAGGCAGATGTATGCCTGCATGCTCAGCGTAGGCGCACGTAGTGCACGTAAGAACTGCCATATCAATCGTGCAACCTGGCAGCGAGATATCTAATCCAGTGACTGTGACTGGACTTAGGTTGTTCATCGCCCACCGATTCAGTACACTGAACCCCCAGTTCATAACGCTCCACACTGGTCATGTTACTGACAGCTTCGTTTCGGTGAACCAAGTTCGACAATGGCAAAGAATACAGTTTCCGCACAAGCCACTTCAATTACCTAGATTACCCAGAGTTCCTTCCCCAGACGCATTGCGTAGCATTTACGTATTTCTCGAGCGAAGTCCCGAGGCGGGGAGCAGACTCAGTTTCAAATTTCCTTAGTGCCGATAAACCTGTAGATTCTGGAGCGATAGACGCCCTATAGCGGGACAGTGGTGTCATTCGTTTGTATGGATTAGATAACGGTGCCCGGCGGCCAGACTAAATCCAGATTGTATGGGAACGTGTACGGTTTCTGTTGGGTGAAAGGGATCTTGGTAGATTGAAAAGAGGTTTTTGGTGTCAATCAGGTGATAGACTTTTATTCCCAAGTCCTGACTTCCTTTGATGTATAGGTTATATTATCTGATCAGATGCTCTATCTGTAATGTTCCGTGTGTACTGCAAGATAATGTATTGGCTAAGATTGACTTTACTAAAGAACTAGTCTGTTAATGCATGGAGGTGTTTCCTACCTCCATGCGGCATGCATGCAACATGGAACCGACCAGTTTGCGGTCACTAGCCCACAAGACATCAAGGGCATATTATTGTGAACTACGGTATCAAATTATGAGCATGAGAACTTTTAAGACTTTCAATATGTATTTTGATATATACATTCATAAACTCTGACTAGAGGAAATTAGGAATTAAGAATATTATTCAGAACACCAAAGCGATAGCCACTTTTTATTGTCAATGATATCAAAATATTGAATAATTTGTAAAGTATTTTGCTATACCATCCTTAAATACAATCAATGACATCACAGTTTTCACGAGTTTTGTACCTCATGCACCACACTAAAACGTTAACTTCTCATGGATGCGTGAGTAAATACGGCATTATGTGATAGTCACTCAATTTCATCTTTAATTTCAAAGCTGCCATAGCAAAGAGGCCTTTTACTCGTCTCGTTTCCCCACCGACACACTCCATTTCATCAGCCCTCGGCCTTCTGCACTCTCTTCATATCGGTCGATGGATGCTAATAGTACTGAAATATTGTCCACCTTGTCCCCTGTGGTGTGACACGGTGGACCTCCTAATGTCTTGTTTGCCTCTATATGCTCTGCGCTTTACTCTGCCAAAACTGTCGAATAATGGGTCTGAAGGTCTTTTCGTGTGCAAACCATTAAAATATGTATGGCCAACAGTATTTTTTTTTTTATCAAACAGACCATTCTTTGTTTGTTTTGTTTTCCAAAATAATAAACAAAACTGTAGGTCTTTACAATTTTGAGATTTAAAAGACAACTGCAATTACAAGCTATGATCTTATTTAACAGTGCATAAACGTTTTTATTTAAAAGAGCATTAAAAAGTAGGATATAAACATCCACACAACCATACCTTAATAATTGGGCGTTTTGAGTTATTCTTGCGATGGTGCGCGAGAACGAATTTCGGGGGTCAAAATTTCGACTCCGAAAAATCGTGCTAGTCGTAATTCCAGCATCACGTATTTTCCTTTGAAAACATTTCTCCAAAAGGTGTGTATGTTCATTGGTTTAGTGAAAATTTTTACTTCTTTGGGTGAAAACCCACCGCTATTGTTTTAGAATAATCAAATTACGCAGCTATAATTGCCGCACCAGTCTGATGCTGTCACCGCGCCGAGAACGCTAGAAAGAGCCCTTAATCCCATGACAAATACGGCATGATGTAAACAACCGGAGGGTTCCGTCTTTTCTCGGGAACGGTTAGACATATTAGGTTAGTTTCCTGTCAACCAGACCTTTGAAATAGGATAAAAAAACAATCCAAAACTGTTTTCGGAGATTTCAGGCCGTAATGCCCCTTTAATGCCCGTTTTATCTGCATTTATATTTTATCGTCCACTCTTGTAACCGCTGCCCTTGTGTTAAACGATTATAACCTTTACGTTGAACAAGCGATGCGTACGGAAAAGATAACACTTTGATAAAAATTCGAAAATCGTTTCATGAATATATCTGCTCGGTGGAGTGATACTAAAGTGTCTGTCGTGAATTATTGACGGGTACGTGCTCGCTACACCTAGGATTAG